TTAAATTAAATATTAAATTATTTTATTAAAATATAATTATTTTAATAGATTTTAAAATATTATATATATATATATATAATTTAAAAGAAAATAAAATATATAAAAATATATTAAATAATATTAAAAGTATATATATTAATTATATCTTTAAATATAAAAGTTATTATTAAAGATTACTATTAAAATCTTTAAAGAAAATATTTATAAATATATTATATTAATATAAATATATATAAATAAAGTTTAAAAAACACTTTAACTTACCGTTTAAAAGGTAAAAAGTTTAAATTTAATAATATATTAAAGTTAATTATTTTATTTTTTAAAAATTTAAATAAAATATTTATAAAATATAAATATATAAAGAAAATAATTATTTAGTTTTAATAATATAATTTATTATATTAATATATATATATATACTTAATTATAATAATTAAAATATATATTAAGAAAAATAAATACTTAATAATTAAATAACTTTATATAAAGGAATAATTATTATTATATTATTTAATAATATAATAATATAGGTATATAAAATATAAATATAAAATTATAACTTTATATTTTAAAAATTATATAATTTTATTTTAAATAATATATATTTTATATTTTTAATATTAATATTTAAACTATTAATATTATATATTAAAATATATAAATTTATTATAAAATAAGTATTTAACTTAAAAACTTTAAATATTTAATATAGATTTTATATATAAATTATTTTATATTTTATATAAAATATAAAATATAATTATATAAATAATAAATATAAATATTATATTTTATATTATATATTTTATATTTTATATATTAATATAAAATATAAAATATAAAATATAATATTTATATTTTATATTTTATATTTTATATTTTAAAATATAAAATATAATATAAAATATAAAATATATATTTTATATTTATATTTTATATTTTATATTTCTAGTATATTTATATTTATATTTATATTTTAATATTTTATATATTTTATATTTTATATTTTATATTTTATATTTTATATTTTATATTTATATTTATATTTTATATTTTATATTTTATATTTATTATAACTCTAGGTAATTTATAATATAAACTTAAAAGTATTTAATATTAAAAATATTTTATACTTTAAGTTTAGTTTTCTTTTTATTAATTTTAAATAATAATTATTTTTAAATTAAATATTTTATATATTTTATAATAATATAGTTTTATTTTATTTATTTTTATTTAACTTAAAATATTTATAGTATTTTTAAATATATTATTAATTTTTAAAAATTATATTAATATTAGTTTTATATTATTTATTTTATAGTTTATTTATTTAATAATTATATTATTTTTAAAGTATTATTTTATAAAATAGTTAAATTATATAAATTAATAAATACTTAACCTTTAAATAAACTTTAAAATAAAGGTTTTATTAATAATTAAAACTATATTTTATTTATATTTAAATAGTTAAACTAATAATAAAAATAAAATTATAAATTATTTTTATTTAAATATTTTTTTATATTATATTTATTATATTATTATAAATTTAAAATATTAAAATTTTATAATAAATTAAATTATATAATAATTTTAATATTATTAATATTAAGTTTAATATTAAATAATATAGTTAATAATATAATATAGTATTTAAAATTTAGCTTTTATATTTTTAAATATTAAATTTTAGTTTAACTTTTAAATATTTATATTAAATTATTTTATAAAGTTTATAGTTTATTTATTTTAAAACTATATTTTTCTTTAAGGTATTTAATTAAAAGGGTTTAAATCTAAAAATAAATTTTTATTATTAATATAAATAAAAGTTTTAATTATAACTATAGGATTAATAAAATTTATATTATTAAATAAAAATATAAATATATAAAATTAAATAAATATTTATAAAAAAGATTATATAATAATTAATAACTTAAATTAGTTAATTAAAATATAGATTATTTTAATATTATTAATATTTAGTTTTATATATTTAAAAATATAATTTTAATTAATTTAATTAAATATAGTTATATATATAAATAGAAATATTAATTATAGTATTAATAATTTAATTTAATAAATAAAGGAAAAATAAGTTAAAACTTCTCTTTATATAATAATTATATATACTTTATTAATAATTATAATATTAATTATATTATTAAATAATAAATTATAATAAAGTTTTAAAAGTAAGTATTTAATATTTATTTAAAATTTATTATAATATAAATATACTTTCTATAATTTATTTTTTATATAATTAGGTTTTATTTAAATATAAGTAATATTTAAAATAGTAGATTCCTATTTATAATAAATAAAAGTTTATAATATAAAATAATAGTTATATATATTTTTAAATATAAGTTTATATTAACTTAAATAGAATATAAATTAATTATATTAAATATAATATTTTTAATTTATTTTTTAAATTTAATAAAATATAAAATAAATTATAATTTTATTTTATAATTTTATAAATATATATTAAAGTATATTTTATTATATTTAGTAATAATAATTAATATTATATTTTCTCTTTAATAATATAATTATAATTTTAATTTAACTATAATAAGTTAAAAATAACTAATTATATTTTTAATTATAGTTATAATTTAATTAAATAAGATTTTATAAAAGATTTTTAAAAGTTTATAAAATAAATATTTATATTTATATTTATATTAGTTTACCTTTAAGCTTTATATTTAAAAGTATATTAATATTTAAATTTTAATTATTATTAAAGTATTTTATTATAAACTTTTATATTTATATATATTAATATTTATAAACTAAATATAAATAATTAAAAATATATTTTATTTTTTATTTTTAAATAAGTATATTTAACTTTTATAATTAGTAATTTAATATTAAAAATAATATTAAAAATCTTTATTTAATTTTAAAATTTAAATAATTAATTATTAAATATAAAATATATTAATAATAAGATTATTTAAAAGTAATATTTAAATATTATTTTAATTTTTATATAAATTTTTACTTTTTTAACTTTTATATTTTAATTTTAAATATCCTTTATTTATATTTAAATACTATTTAATAATTAATTTAATTATAGAATTATTATAAGGTATAAAGTTTTTATTTAAAATAAATAGAAAGTTTTTATTTAAAATAAATAGAAAGTTTATATTAAATTATATATATTTTTATTTTAATATTAAGATATTTAATAATATAGTTAATTTATATATATAGACTCTTTATTTAGAATGGGTAGGGAGTTTATACTTATATATTATGTGAGTGATAGTTAGGCTGCAGGCCTGGCTAAGGGTATTTAAACATTTGAGATAAATCCTGGCGACTGTTCATCCCTTCTCTGCAGTGCCTGGCTTTAGGGACGGAGTAGACTTTGTGGCTTTTCCCATCCTCTGTGCAACAGCCAAGCAAAATAGGACGCTCTCTACTGCAGTAATAAACACCGTGGAGTAGGGAGTAAGTAGTAGGCTTGCAGACTACATCCCGGCCTAACAAGACGAGATCCATACCAAGACATCCTTTTTTTTTATCGGCTTCCTCCATGCCCAGATATCTGATACCTCATCCATGGTAAGACCACCCACACCCAAGCTTCCCAGGCTAGCCAGGAGACAGCAGCCAGGACACAGAAGAGCCATCAGCTCGCCAGGTCGCAAGCCTGCCACCTGCCAGCTCACCACCAAGACTCTCCAGCAGGCGACTCTTGTCAGATTGCGTGCCCGCCTGTCTTGCCTCCTCATGCAGCATCCCAATAGCAGTCGATCTAGCTGCCTTTCATGTCTCAACACGCCCACATTAGGCGCAGGGCAGGAGGACAGCCCAAGCACGAGCACGAGGATCAGGACTGTCCTGGGCTGACCGGGCTGACCTGTCGCGCCCACAGCGTGATTCTGACTGACGCCGGCAAGCGAAGCCTCTCTGCAAGATCCTGCCGGCCCAGCCTGCCCAGCCTGCCAGCTCTCTCGCTCTTGTCATGGCGCGCCAAGCTTCTCACCTCATGTTTGAGCACCCGGGTCCTTTTTCTCACAAGGTGGCGTGTACCTGGGTAACTCGACGTGCAGCAAACAACTTGTCCCCTCGTCCAATCCCCGCCCCTCTCCGTCCTGGCCGGCTGCACCCGCGAACCGCGGCGTCTTCCTCCTTCCGCATACACGATGCACGACGAGGGGGAGGCGCCTACGCCCCCCGGTCCCAAGGGCAGCCCAGCGCAGCAGCGCAGCAGCGCAGGACACACATCCTGTCCGCCACGAGGCGACCTTGGTGTTTGCTTGTGCAGGACACGCGCACACCCATCCTGCCATCCTCACCCAGCCATGCTGCCATGGTGGTCATGTTGAGAATACTATGTAGTAAGCACGGGGCGTCAGCGGGTACGGTATGTGGGTGGGTGCTCGTCTACCGCGAACTGCTGTCTCGGGGCAGATGACTGCACGTCATCGACGACGGTCGACGGTCGGACCCGACATCTCAGTTGTTTGCACGCCGGTACTCCGTACATCCAGACGGGCCCCGTGACCTTGTCTCTGTTGTTGTCTGAACTGAGTCACGGCGCAAACAAAAACAGCCGCTTCGTGTGTCGCTTATTTGAGTCCTCAGCCCTACGATGCAACCTCGCTGTAACGTACTGCAATATGGCGGGCGAGACACGCTGGTAAGAAGGAGCATGGCTCAGGAAACTCCCCGACGAGGTATGTAGCATTGACCAGCCGAGTGTCTGGTCGACAGCCTGACGGGCCCCAGGACGGGATACCCAAAACACCGCCTTGAAGATATTTTAGGATTTTACATGCAAGACCACTTTTCCTCGGCTCCCACTGACCGGGAAGTTCCCACCTGAGGCCAGACTTGATGATTCAGACATCCATGCTCGTTAGGTTTCCAGTGAGCGCCACACCACCGCTACTTCCCATGGCACTCGTCGCATCTCATATTTTCCTGCGTGCGCCGTCCTCCGCCCACCTTCACAGATACTTGGAGCCGCCGTAACCCGCAGCATCGGCATCTGCTTCGTTGTAGACCTGCGGGGGTCTAGTCTTCGCTTGAATTGCAAGAGCACCGGCGATTCTCTGTTGCTCGAGCTTCCTTCGTTGACCCCAAGACAGATGGCCGCCTTTGCCGTAGTAGCAGACCACCCATATGGCATGGATGATGCTTCCGATCCCCCTAGGATGCCGGTACCGTTAGCTTCTTGGCCAATACATGATGGTGCTGTCTTCCATGCGACTCACAAGGTGAGCATTCCGAGCACCACGTTGAGTGCGAACTGGGTATCGCAGCTAGTGACGCACAGAACGGCAACAGGAGGCACTGCAGGCGGATTATCAGCGTGTGAAACACGGTATAATTGGAGGAAGTTTGGCGGTACAGCATGGCAAGCAGGGGGCCAGGAATTAAGAGAACAGACTAACTCAGGGTTGATAGGACTATCAGCCAGAAGATGTCCCAGTTGTCTCTGGAGCCTCTCATTGGGCCATCACGGGTGCGAAGTCTGGTAGGATCTTCTTGAGGGAGGGCCTCGCCGTAAGGAGCAGCCATGTTTGAAGGTGTGAACCCGACTGGATTGCTTTTGCGGGATGATATCGATAATCAGCAAGCAGAGAGGTCGACGACGGTATCAGGTTAAAGGTGTTCGGAGCATATCAAGCTGTGTGTGTTTTGTCAAAACCACTGTTGTCATCCGTGAACGCCAAGTGCTGCTGTACAAGTTGTCCGAGACAAATCTCCGATGGGGAGGCATGACCGGCGGCACACGCTTGCCTTGTGGAAAGCAGGAGGCTAGCCGGTGGGATTCGACCTGATTGGAGGTTGAGGCTATCCCATGGGAGGGCAGTAGTATTGTTGCCGAATGCACCTGCCGGCTGTGTGACGACGGCATCATCCGTCAAGAACCATTTCGCGTGGTCAATCTGAGGGATCTCGAGGCCATCCTCGAATTTTACTGAAGCACGTCAATATTGGTGCCACACATGGCCAGAAGCAAATACCACCCACGGCCAGGCCGGGTTAGGAAATGGACGGAAAATGAGAGATCCGCGGCCGATGGGTGGCGTCGAGGCCCAGTGACAGCCGTTGCCTCATAATATCGAGGGGGGCCCCGGAGGCTGGGCCCAGAGATCTGAATCTGACATGGCTGTTCTGGGTATTCCTTCTTCCCACGGGAGGGGGGTGGTGCGTGTGTGGGAGAGAGAGATAGAGATGGCTCCGGGAAGGCGAGGGAGAACCCCGTTGGGGTCCAGCTAACCTCCCTTGCGCCCTGCCACATCCCGATCTATGTCGGCAATCGAGACGCGCAGAGAGGAGAGAAAGGGCGATCAACACCGTCAAGTAGAGGAGGCCAATTGTTTCGAGACTTGCCAACATTTCTTGCCACAAACACCATCCAGTGCCGCTGAAAGTGGAGAGGAGGCTCAACTGGACACCAGCTCGAGAGGCCGTAGGCTGCAACGGCAGGAGCCTCACCCAGCTCACCGTCTGGGCCCGGTCACACCGTCATCCCCACGGTCCCCAGAGCGTCCCTGCTCAACCATGTGGAGGCCTTGTGTGAAGGCCCCCGCCGTTTAGGCGTGGTGTAATCCTCGGGCCGGTGGTAGCCCAACAACAAGCCACGCCCTTGTTTGCTCGCAGGTGACAGCGCCGACCCGCCCCCATCCACACCTCATGTCACTGGGGGGATCATCCGGTAGGCGGGCGCCGGCTGGCCCTCTTGGGCCTTGTCTCTGCGTGCGTGCGTGAGTGCGTGCCCGCCCACAAACCCCCCTGCCACTGCCCTGCCTGCCCTGCCCTGCCCTGCCTGCCTGTCCTGCCATACGAGCGTGTGGTGAACGTGGGCGTCACGCACCTCCTCGTTCCATTCCTGACGGCTGCAGATCTCACTGCGACGAAGCTAGGCAGATAAGAGATCTCGTGCAGGGGGCTTCCACCGATCGTGTCGCCTCGCAACCCGGTCAGACTCGTGGCATTGATACGTGAGTCAATGCTTCGGAGACGTGGTGTAACCCGGCCTGCAGGATCACCAATTTCGCCGGCCTCGACGAGGTTCCAGCTGGCTGCTGCGGCTGCTGCGTGGGTTTTCCTGCGGCCCCGAAAGCAGGCCGCCTCTGCCACATATCCTCCGGGTTGGACCCCTGGAGTTCGAGCAAAGGGCTGATCAGCACCTTTAATTACGCCGGTTTGGCGAATGATAGCAGGCAGTTCGTGGGCCCCTATGTAAGTCAGGGCCGCCTCGCAGGCGGCCACTCTGCAACTCTGCAAAAGCCCCTCGAATGGCCAAGACCTACCACGAGCAGGAGCGGCAGGCCCGACCAACGTTCCCAGTCCTGTCGTAGGGATGGGCATGTCTCAGCCCGCCGCCGGGACAAAAGGACACGCGGTCGGGATGAAGCTGAGTGCCTGGGCTGGAATGTACTTGTGCATGACACTGGCGTCGCTGCTCCACCTCCTCGAGTGCGTCCCCCAGTTTCTGTCCGTGTGAAGGGAAAGACACCTGCACTTTTTCCATGCAGTTAGTCCCCGAAGTATTGAGAGATGGCTGCGACACGACTAGCCCGAAAGGCCCCAAACTACCCAAGTACGGCCAAGCAGTCTGGGTATGATAAGCCTGCATTGGTGGGCAGCAGAGCACGCAGGCCCCTCGAAATGAGCTTCAGTCAGGGAGGTTCTGTTCGGCCCCAGCTCGGGGAACCGGCGTGGGAGGAGGAGGAGGAGAAGAAGCAGATGGCAAGGCTCCGTGTATAAAAAAGAGGTCCCGCCCATCCTCGTGGCAGCCATCCTTCTAGAACTGTAAGATGTTGTGAATTTCCTCTCAGCAGTTCGTGACACAAGACTCATAAGACACTCGCGGTCCTTTGATCCAGACATACACTCGACACCTTCAACTTCACACAGGGCTCATCATACTTCACCATGGGCCAAGTACTGGGCAAGGTTGCTGTCCCCGTTCAGGAAGAGAAGGTGAAGGAGCCTGAAGGTCCCAATTTCCCTGACTATATGCTCGACTCAAACGCTGTCGTAAGTCCATGGTCCTGAACAATGCCTGGCCCTTGCGGTCAGGTCCTCCTTGTGGTCAAGTCCTAAGCCTCAACTGACGCCTCGTGGCCTTTAGACCTATGACAAGGCAACATGGCGATACGGAGGACCACCAGACTACAGAGTCACCAGGCAGATGTGGGCGAATGGTATGCTGGCCACGTCGGGCTCTGACATGAACCAATAAACCACTCCTGTCCTCAGTCGTGCTAACTCCAACCCGACAGAGAAACGCGCAAACCATGGGGCCAAGTCTCTTGAGACACTGGTCGAGAACCTCGTCAAGAACTGGGAGATCGAAGCGTCACATAAGATGGACGTGTCGGAATGGCGAACTGTCGACCCGGATAAATACACCTTTTCCATCAATGGCGGACCACCTCAGGACGCGGAACACATGCTGAAAGTGTGCGTACTCTCCCTCTCTCCTATCCTTTCCCTGGCCCTCGGCTCGCTCAAGGCGCCTGTTCCGCCATTGATCTGCGGGTGATGATGACTCTTGGAAGATGAAAAAGAAGCGAAGGGACAGGGGTGAAAGTTTGACGCGAATTTTGCTTCTTCTTGTTCCTTGACAAAAATGTGGCTGACGAAAGCAATCGCAGTGGTACTTATTCGGCGGTCATAGCGCCAAACAAGTATTACGGTGCCAACTCCACATTCGACGAGAGCCACAAGACGTTCAGAGACATGATGCCGAACTTTGCGTGGGAAGTGCTCGAGGTGTACAGCGGCCCGCCGGTCGTGGCCTTCAAGTGGCGCCACTGGGGGTGGATGAAGGGCGATTATGTCGGGAAAAATGAAGAGGGATCTACGGTGACCATCAAAGCTCACCGCGGGATCCTCGATATCCAAGGTGTGACAGTAGCAAAGCTGAACGACAAGTTCCAAGTGACGAGTCTCGAGACATGGTAAGCCTGCCTGCCTGCCTGCCCCCTGGCCCCCGGCCGTGGCTGTTTCTGTCTGGTTACCGTGTCGCGGGAGAGAAAAACGGACGGGTGCTAACCGCAACACATCAACAACAGGTTTGATCCGACAGACATGTTCAAACAGATGCGGCCGTCGGACGAGACGATGACAACGAGGCGGATGGAGTGTCCCATGGGGTACACGTCTGACATGAAGGGGATGGGCAGTAGGGGAGTTGGGCATTGAGCATCGGGGGAGTTTGACCTAGCACTGTGGTTTTCTGGCTTGTTTTCTTTTTGAAGCATCGAAAATTGATTCAATGCACCATTCACTCTCGCCATGTAGCGGTCCGGAACAGTATGGGACGAGTTGACCGGCCCACCAGCCCACCAGCCCACCAGCACACACACCAGTGCACCAGCCCGCCTGTGCAGCCCCCCGGGCTCAGGTTGATTCCCACGGGATGGCGTCGAGGGTTTCTGCGCCACGGTACCTCGTTGGGAACGCTATGACGAGAGGTGTCTCTGAAACCACGTTGTGCCTATCGGATCTATGCTGGATCCAGAGAGGCTACTGCACGGTCTGAAACATACAAGACACTGGCGAGCACCACTTGGTGATATGACATGCCAACGGCGTGAGATTTACAAGAAGAGAGTGCGGGGACATGGTGGCGGGGGTTCGTGAGTGTGTCCATGATCTGATGTGTGAGAGTGTGTGTGAGTGCATATGAGGAGAATCATGCCGCCTTCCGGCAAACTCTCACCGTCCCTAGCGTTCCGAGAGCTTATCTTGGGTCGAGGCTGGGCGTCCAGACCTTGGGTTGCCCGTGGGTGGCACGGTCAAGGGAGCGGCTGCCAGCTTGACCAGGGGTCCCCTTCTGGAAAACTCCAGAGCAGCCATCCTGGGGGGTTGGTTTCTGGCCGTGTCCTCGGACTCGAACCGAGGTGAAGAAGGCAGAGGTCAAGGAAAGGAAATGGGCTGGATGGTACTGTGAACAGCTCCGGAGGATACCTGGAGATCCTTGGCAGAGAGAAACGCAGCGGATGTCCATTGCATTTGCGACTCGTCTCTTGCATGTAGTTTGGAAGGGTTGGGAGACCTGTCTTGCTCTCCCGGGGATTTGTCACGGACAGACACGGCTTGCAACCACCTCATCCGGGTGACGGGCCATCAGTCTTCCATTTGGTTGCTGGGCGTAACCCTTACTGCCTGCCTGACTGACTGACTGACTGACATGGACGCAGGGAGGTCTTGGGAGGCCGGCTGGCAGGCTGGCAGGGAGGCTCGATGATGTGGCAGTTGTGGTCAAAAAGAAAAGCGCAAAAGAAGTGCTGGTTACCGAACTAGTCCGTGGCACGACGGCAGCCACGTTTTAGTCCTGGCGATCTGACTTGCGGAATGAAAATATGCCATGTGGTCAACTGTGTAACGTGGATGGGAGGTGCGTCAGACAGGCTCGGTGCAATAATGCGCACCGGGGAGAGCCATAGGAGGACTGGACAGGCCGGGGCTTATTAGCTGTTGGCTGTTGGCTGTTGGCTGTTGGCTGGGGCTGGCTGGCTGAACTCAGGCCACTATATACCTCGGTAGCTGCTCCGTACTGTACCTACACTGTTGGCCGACCTGGGCTGCCTGGGCGGTTTGATTTGCAGAGGGGGAGGGAGATGCGGCAAGTCAAGGCGAGCTCGTCATTCATTCATTCACCGGGGCATTCCAATTTCAAATCAAAGAACCTTCATTTTCGCGTTGGCGTAATATCTCGACGGCAGCAATACCGAGAAATAACCAATCCAAATGATGAGGTGTTAGCTCAACCAAAAAGAAAAACACATTCCTTGACTGTGTACTCGCTTCCTGCTTCCGAGGAAATGGGCCTCGAGGAGCAAAGCATGTCACACCGGCAGACCGGGCGTTATCAGGAAATAGCACGCAACCAGCACAGCAGCAAGAGGTGGGAAGTCAGCCAGGGAAGTCGGCCTCGGACGGACAAGGGATCCCCCCAGTCCAGGGGACGGCCCAGCCCGTGACGTGTTCGCGACTGCCCGACACGGTCAACACGGCAATCGTCAACATACATACACACGTTGACACGGTCCCTCGTCACGTCTCGTTCCCACTGTGTCGGCGCAAAGTGCGAGCTTGGGAGCACAAGAAGAAGTGCAGGAGAAAAGAAAGCAAAGGACCAAAAAAGGATGGGGCTGGTAACAGCATTTATGTATACATAGTCAAGTATATACACTACACCGACTAGGTAGGCTAGCCCAATCACCTGGGAGCAAGCGTCCGAGCCCCTGGCGCCCCCCGAGGTCGACCCCAAGCCCGAGTCCCCTCCAAGCTCCAAGCCCTAGGCGTGGGGTTCCAGGGGGCCGTCGGTGCGTCGGAAAACGTGGGATTCCTCGCTACTCCGTACTCCGTAATCTGTACCTCTCCCCAACATGGCCTGATATTGCGTTGGGCCAATGGTCCAGATATCGGCCCTCACGCTACCCGTCACCATGAGAGCTACCGGCGCTCATCTCTAGCCCTGCAGCTCGTGTATGGCCTACACAGTCTTGACAGTACACCTTGATGGGCTGGGGGAAAACGCAAGCATCACTGTTGCACTACATGGGGGAGCAGTGGGAGTGGGGAGGGGATTAATTGGAGTGCATGCGTGCTGCATCTGGCAGGCTGGCAGGCTGGCAGGTCAGGCAGGTCAGGCAGGTCAGGCTGATGAGATGGCCGTCAAGGAAGAAGCTCCGTCATGGGTTTCGAGTTGACGACCTTGACCACGCCTCTGCAGCCAGGGCATCAGGGCATCAGGGCATCTCGTCGAGACCTATGTACAGCCTGGTTCCGCAAGACGGAACAGGCCGGGTAATAATAGCCGTCATTCATCTCAGATGCACCCCTTGTCGTAAGCTGGTTAAGGTGCTGGAACAGAGCATCAAATACACAGTGACTTCCCTCCCTCCCAGCCTTGACCCCTCAAGTTGGTTGAGATGCACCGGACTGCACGCTTGTCTTCCCCGTGCACTGCGAACCCGCGTTTTGGCGAGAGGCTTATTTACCTTGGTGCCTTCCCGCGCGACGGTGGGCAGCCGCTCTCATTTTAGCTCGAACGAGACATGGAGAAGATGCAATAGCGTAGGAAATCTACAAATCACATTAAGAAACCCCCAACGTCAAGGAAATGGAAGAACCCATGAGATTTCCAAGACACCCACCAAACTGCCCACTCGGATCTGATGAATGACGAGGTCGGCGGGCGGCCGGCGGGGGGGGTGCTGAGCTCGCTCCGTTTGGGCCACCGCCCATGTACGGTACATTCCATACCCACGCTCCCGCCCAGCCCGACATACGGCCAGAGCTCTGTCGGTGGAGGACATCAGGAAGAGGAGAAAAGAGGTCCAGTATTTCCAGGCCTCCTGCAAACTCCTACAGGCTGATGCTAACGCTGCACGGCCAGCACCACCCGTCCTCATCCCCAAGCAGCCGAAACGGAGGCCCGAATCGGAAAGGATGCTGCGCTGCATGCTGGAAGCCGGCCCACAAATCGAGGGCAGCCTCCAATTACACTGCAGTCCTGGCAGGGGTAGGCCCGTCGTTTGCAAATGGCCGATACGGAGTACCTCCGTACGGAGCCAAGTACAGCACACACCCACCAGCGCCGCGGGACAGCACAGCACAGCGCGCTAGGTACCCGTTACTGTGGTAAATCATTTTTTCCTGCGCCTGGCGGCTGTCGTGGGTGTGTGTGGTGCTAAGCTAACCAACTGGCTGTGTGTGTGTGTGTGTGGTGTGCTCTCCTCACGCGTCGTGCTGGCTGTCTCTCTAATTGCTACCTGGGTAGCTATCTGATCTGAACTGTCTGATCTTTTTGTCGGCTGTCTGCCTCTATTCCCTCCTCCACTTTGCTCGTCCTCGTCTCCCTCCCCCCTGGTTCGGACCTGGGCCTATCTTGTCCAGTCCCGTCCAGTCCACCTGGCAGTTCTCTTGCCATCCCGTCGTCTCGTCTCTCTCTCGGTTTGGACTTTTCCTCTCCAAACCACCTCACCTCCCCCGTCCCTCACCTCCTTTCCCTCTCCCCCCAGGGTGTGTGCAGCTCACTCCAGCACCGCACACAATTCCATCCTGCAGGCTCGGCACCTCCTTACCGAGTTCTCGCTTTTGTCCCTCGCCTCCCCTCTTCCATCAATTCGGCCGCCAGCCAACTCTCCCCGAGTCCCCAACACCGGTCCTTAGGCGAGCTCCTGGTCAGTGGTTAGCAAGCAACAGTACGTGTCCCGTCGAACAGGCCAACTCTAGCTCCAAAGTTCGCCCATCCAGAGCTTGCATCGAGTGCCTGCCTGCCTGCTTCCCCCTCGACTCCTCTGCGCATTCTCGAGGCGTACGGGCGTACAGGCGTGAGGCGTACAGCCCACTGCTGTGGCCTCCGCTCGCCCTGCGCAATCCCAGATTGAACCAGCGGGCCCCGTGCCAACTTTTGTTGCGCTTTCGACTGACCGCTTGCAGCTGGATCAGATATCACGGGCATACCTTCTCCCGCTGTCCAACAGCTATCCCTTTCGATCCCTTCACTGCCAGCAGCTCCGACCATGGCAGCCCTTCCTCCAGCGCCTCTGAATGTTGACCGCTATGTGGTCATCCATGTGGCCACCACCTGCGACGAACACGGCGTCTACGTAACCAAGGATTCAGCTGAGGTCATTGAGATTGGTTGGATTCTGGTGGACGCAAAGACACTCGAGGAGGTGGGCTCTTCCTGCTCCCAACCCTGAATTGCTGCTCCCACTTCTCAGGGATGTAGTCACCCACCACAGATGGGCTCCAAGCTGACGGCTATCCTCCCTCACACAGCTGCATCATGAAAGTGTTCTGGTTAAGCCTATTAATACGCCAATCACCCCTCTCTGCAGTAAGTCTGACCCGTTTGCATCGCTCCCATCACTCCTGTCCGACAGCCAGCCTCTGCCCGTTGTCCCTCTAGCCGCCTTTTTCTCCCGTCAACCCAAAAAAAACTAACCAGACTCCGTATCCAGCGAGCCTGACCACTTTAACATGGGAGCACGTTAGGAACGCCGGTACGTTCAGGGATGCGATTAATCGTTTCGATACGTTTGCCTCGGAGCATCTGAACGCCCAGAACCTCGACTTCGTCTTCGTAACCTTGGATGCTTGGGACCTCAGGGTTCAGCTCCCCCGAGAAGCTCGCGACAAAGCCGTTGTGCTCCCTCCATACCTCCAGCACTCTCGGACGTTCGATCTGCGAACCGAATACCAGAGATGGCAGCAGCACCATCCCGAATGCCTGGCCTTTGGCCCGTCGTCGCTGGCTAACATCTGTGCGGCTCTCGAGGTCGAGGCGGTGCAGTCGAGTGCCCCTATTAAGCATAACTTGCCTTTCCATCTCCAGGCGCTCGCCCCTGCCTCGCCCCGTAGGGCCATGGACGAAGCTATCACCCTTGCCCGTGTCCTCCGCGGTCTGGTGCGGAAGTCCCAGCCCCCTAACGAGCACCCCGATGTGCTCACCAGGCCGATGGATGCTCGCGCAGACGTCAGGGCCTTCCTGTCGGAACGGAGTAAGGTGCTGCACATGTCAGGATTGCCTCATGACACAACCCAGTCTGAGCTTGAGAGCTGGTTCACCCAGTTCGGTGGTCGCCCCATCGCGTTCTGGACCCTTCGCACGCCCGAGCAGCACAAGCCCACGGGCACTGGTTTCGCAGTCTTCTCATCCCACGAGGAAGTAAGTCGATACCCTCGCATCGTTGGTTTGCCCGTTCTTTCACCTTCCTTTCAAGCCAGGTGGGCTCTCGTGTGGACTTGATTTAGTGTCCGATGTGCAGCTTTCCCCCCACCCGAAGTGCAGTCAGACCTTACAAGCGTGGATCACGATAGGCGATGTGCAGCTGTCGATGCTAACTGTACTCTTCGCTTCCAGGCCGCTGAGAGCCTGTGCATGAATGGCCGCGCTCTCAACGAGAAGGCCATCGAGGTTTCCCCATCGTCGAGCCGAGTTCTGGATAGGGCCCAGGAGATATTGACCCCGTTCCCGCCAAGCAAGAACCGACCTCGACCCGGAGACTGGACCTGCCCGAGTTGTGGATTTTCAAACTTCCAGCGTCGCACGGCATGCTTCCGCTGCTCATACCCAGCCGTCAGTGCCGGCCCGACGGGTGACATGGGCTACGGCGGCTACGGCGGAGGTGGCGGCGGTGGGTATGGGCCGCCAGCCATGATGGGCCCGCCTCACCACGGCGGCGGCGGCCATCACCACGGACACATGGGCCATGGCGGCGGTGGCCGGATGGGAGGCAGCGGCGTCGTCCCTTTCCGTGCCGGAGACTGGAAGTGTGGTAACGAGGTTTGCGGATACCACAACTTTGCCAAGAACGTATGCTGCCTCCGCTGCGGTGCCAGCCGCGCGGGTGCTGCTATTGTTGCGGACTCGGGCTACCCTACCCCGATGGATACCCCATCCAGCTATATGAGCCAGGCGTCCATGGGCGGCAACCCCGGGCCCGGGCCCTTCGGATCCGGAGGTGGATTCAACTCTGGCGGTGGTTACGGCCAGCAATTTGGCGGCCCGCCCAGCACCTACGCTTTGCCATCTGGCATCGGTGGCGGCGCAGCTCCCTATCCCTCTCTCAACACGCACTTTGGTCCCGGTCCCGGTGCGCATTCCGCCGGGCCCTTTGATAGTCGCGCTGCCGAGGCTGCCTTCCAGTCGGCACAGAACGGCCCTGCCTCTGCCGGGCCCTCCAACAACTTCTACTCGGCGGGGGAGAGCGACCCTTTCGCCTTCCTGTCGAGCGGGATCGGCGGTCTCTCGGTCAGCGGTGGTGATCCCCGCCAGAACGGCGGTGGAGCTCCTAGCAAGTCGCCTGCTTAAAAGTTTGTACACGATGGCCCCGTGCTGGGCCTCAGCGTCATCTTTCTAGATCAACGCGGCTGTCGACTTTCGCTTGTGACTATATATGCAACTACTTTGAGGACATAGAGTAACCGGAACAGCTCGGCATCCTTCTCAACATACAAAACCTTTGGGCGAGGGCGGCTGGCTTTTGGACCACAACACATTTCACGGAACCGGCGGCATCAGGGGTTTGTAGGTGGGCACAGGGTGGGGAAAAAAGCAATGTTGCAACGGAAAGACAAAAGCAGCGGCACGGCGGTGTACATTCTTGCATCCTCGGTTCGGTTGGGAGTTTTTCCCCCAGAACGCATTTACTTCTGCTGGGACGGGGTGGGACCGGATGTCACATGTGCCATACCCCTTACTACATTCTGCTAGTTGTCATTTTTTCTTCTCATTTCTTGTTTATTACCGCACTGTCTTTAAGTTGTTACGGTCGAAATCAGTCACGGGAATGGAAAGGTCGGCGGTTGATGATTGGTTAAGGAACTTGGTTGTGGGCGGCGGCGGCGACTGGGGGGACGGCAGGTTTTAGGCTCGGTGTCGGTGTCAGTCACTTGGTTGGTTCCGCATCAGCGTGGAGTGTAGGGGGAAATTCTATTACTTTGCCGGGTACGCCAGAGGAAATGTCCTCACTCTGCTCCGGAAATGGAGAGAAGAAAAGACTGTTCTCGTCATCATCTACTTACCACTTTCGACTCTTACTCTCTTGGACCTCTGTCTTGAATTTTCTCCTCTTGTCCTCAGCCCTCGAGTCGTTTCTGTGCCTGCGCATTATAGGGACCATCATGCGCTCGCCATCACGGTCTAATTGTTGGAGGGGAAGGGAGGGATATGATGTGTTTCGGCCGAGTATGGAGTAACGGAGTCAGCCGGTTGGGTGGAGGGCTTTTCTTGAGAGCATTGCGGGATTGGCCTCGGGGGGGTTGAAGATGGGGGAGGGGGCATGCTCATCTCCATTGCTTGTTGCCATAGGCTGGCTGGCTGGCTGTCTGGCTGGCCAGGAGGGAGACCTGCCTACTACTTAGGAGGGAGACATCGGACTGCCGAGGCGAGGACGTCATGTTGGGGGATACGATATGAGAGGGAAGCAGGATTCGGGGAGGCTGGTTACCTACCTAGCCTACCGGGCCTGGTTCTGGAATAGAGGCACCGGGCAACTAACTGTGGTTTTACCCTTCTAGAGAACTAACTCCCTTAATAATTAAACCGCTTTCGACACGCTGGAGAACGCCAATGGATAATGGTGGCCCCAAATTCTCGCATCTTCTCTCTGGCCTCTCGACACAATGGCATTGGGTGTGTTCTCATCAGAGGTCGGTCCCGACGTCCGTCATCATTATCTTTCTAGCAGGGAGTGGGTTGACTCTGCGACACGATTCGACCGTGTGACCAGAGTCAGTCCATCCATCATTAGCATTTGGAAACCAGCCGGCCAACACGACGAATTCGACCGAGGGGAAGGGGGGTAGGTCAAGACGCTCACATAGCACACAGCCAGGGTTCACAACAGGGACCCGAGAACAGTGCTAAAGGGGGGTATTGGCATATACTGCTATACAGCGCCGCGCTATGTATTGCACACAAAGCAGCACCATGCTCCTTGCCATGTATGCTATTTGAATACCTTGCGAGTCACCCCGGGTGTTGATATCACTCTCCACGAGCAAGCCGTTGGTTCTTCAGCGACCAAAGGAAGCTTGAATTCAAAGACTCATTGTGGCCCAAGAAAGTCGAAGGGACATCGTCTCTACACTCATCTCTCCATGAGACGCATCCAGGGGCTCCCACCCTCGCCGCCGCCCTTGCAAAATCATCACCGACTGTCAGGAAACCTAGGCCTTCTTTGACGCATCATCCACCTCGCTGGCCTCTGGGGCTGCCGCGGCCGACTTCTCAACGTGCTGGCGCTTAGATTCGCGGGTTGCATCATTTGCCTCTGGTGGGCGTTTCCGAGAATCCTTCCCGTCCTTGCCAGCGGAGCCGGACCCCTTCTCGGCGGCTTTGCGAGCCTCTCGGTCCTTGCGCTCGTTTTCGCGCCGCAGCGCCTTGCTCTCGAACTCGTGCCAGTCGCCGTCTACGTGTTGGAGCCTAGGAGAACTGTCAGTACATTTACCTCCAAAAATTCAAAAAACAAAAAAAAAAACACATCTCGAGGGTGAGTTCGACTTACTCTACTGCCTGCCGCGGAGCCGGTGACTCGGTGGTGAAGTAAGGATGCTCCAACACCTGGGCGGCCGTCGGTCTTTTGAGCGGGTCATATCGCAGCATCTCGCTGAGGAGTTTGAACGCGGCGGGGGGCAGCTTGTCCTCGTACAGCTCTGCGAACACGTTTGGCTTCCTCACCCCTGGCCTCAAGAGCTCGAACCAAGGCATATCCAACAGGCCTGGCCAGTCCGACTTGTGCGGCGTGCCGAGAACAGAGTAGATCTTGTCCAGCTGGCTGATCTCGCCACCGTCACCGGGGAAGACGGCACGCCTCGTGAAGATCTCTATCATCACACATGCTGCGCTCCAGATGTCCACAGCAGGGCTGTACTGGGTCTCACCGAGTAGCAGCTCTGGGGACCGATACCATATGGTGATGACCCGGTTCGTGTAGTCGAGTTGATGCCGCTTAGCATAAAAGCGCGCCAGCCCGAAGTCAGCTAGCTTGAGAATGCCATCACTGCTAACTAGGATGTTGGCAGCCTTGATGTCTCGATGCAGGACGCCGCGCTGATGCAAGTAATCGAGGCCCTCGAACATTTGCTTCGATAGATGTTTCCTGTGTGCTGCTTCGAGCTTGAAGGTAGGATGATTGAGTATACCCGTCAGGTCGTGCGACAAGTACTCGAACACCATATAACACTCGTTTTTCTCAACCATGACCTCTAGCAACGCAACAATGTTGATATGCTTGAGGGATTGCAGAAGCTTGATCTCCCGGACAGCTGTCACTGGGAAGCCGTCTCTCTCGCCTTCCATACGGATCCTCTTCAGAGCAACCAGCTTTTTGGTGTAGACGTGAAGGGCCTTGAACACCTTCCCGTACGTGCCGGCACCGATCACGGACTCATTGCCAGGCTTGCGGAAATACACAGAATCGGAAGTGGCCAGGTGGTCCGGGAGCGTGGGCTTCTCCTTCAAGCGCCTCATCTTCTTCTTCACCATGCGAACTCGAGGTTCTCGAGGTTCTCGGGGTTCGCGGGGTTCTCGGGGTTCTCGGGGCTTCTGCTGCTCCTGGCGCCTCTGTTGCTCTTTGACTGCCCGAGGCTCTGTTGGCACATTTCTTGGTAGATCTCGACCGTCTGCCACGTGCCTGTTTGGAGGGTGTTCTCGGTGGTCTCGACTGTCTCGACTTTCTCGACTTTCTCGACTGTCTCGATTGTCTCGATTGTCTCGACTTTCTCGATTGTCTCGATTGTCTCGACTGTCTCGATTGGCCTTCGTGTCTCGGCTTTCACGATGGTCTCGATGGTCACGGCTGTCCCGACTGTCCCGTGTGTCTCGCAAGTCGCGACTGTCTCGATCTCGGGGGTCGTGACGATTGGACTCCTTTGGTGGTGGTGGTTCCTTCTTCGTAGGCGCGCTAAACTTCGAGGATATTTCGAACTTCGGGGCTGTGACGGGTGCTTTTGATGTCGATTTAAGTGCAAAACTGATCTTCTTCTCTGAAGCAGGACCTGTCGGAGGCGGACGACTTTCCGGAGCTGGCATTGGGTCTGCCTCAGGGGCCTCTTCCATGGCCGTGTCCTCGACTTGGAACTCCTTCGGCGGCCGGAAGGGATTTTCGCTCTCGTGCGTCCCCGCCTCTCCATGGGCCGAGCCCTGATCACCTACGCTTGAGCCCGCTTGCGGCGTGGCACGTCCTGAGCCCGGATCTTCAGGCTGGCTTGAAGCAGCTCTAGAACCACTGCCACTGGAACCCCAGTGTCCGCTCTTGAAACCTCCACGATTGGCGCCTCGGCCAGCACCAGGGCCGGCGCTGTTTCCACGATAACCCCCGCTGGATGAGCCTCTATACCCTCCGCGGTACGAATTCTGAGAAAACTGGTGGCTTGGTCCGGTGGGGGTCCCCACGGGAGGTGAGTTGGCCTGGCCGCTTTGAAAATGTGCCGCGGGTGCCGTGGGTGCATAGCCATTCGACTGATACTGAGGTGGATATGAACTAAATTGAGAGTTAGTATCCGATGACCAGACATGGAGTGCTCCTGACGAACCTCTGCGGTGAATACTGCTGCTGTCCGCCCCAGTTGCCCCGCCCGCCGCTATAGGGTGACTGGGCCGGGGGTGTGCCATGAAAAGATGAGCTGGGAGTGGCATGACCGGAAGAATGTGGTCCCTGGCTGTAATGGCCCCTTGAGGGATACTGGCCATTGTATGACCCACGGAAATTCCCGCGCGCCGACATTTTGACTTCGATGCTGTTGGAGCCAGATGCTGGCTCTGAAGACAAGCCCTTGGGTGGTAAGCGATCAAGCCCACTCTGTCGCTTGGACGAAAAGGATGGCCGTCGATCTCGTGGTGAAGGAGACCGCGTTGGCGGTCTCGTATAGTCGTCTCTTTCTATATCATACAGCGGCTCGTCAACTCGGCCCCGGGACGAGTTGTCCGGAATTGATGGCCGGCGGCGGCCAGGCGGAGGGCCCTCGCGGCGAGAAGGCGAGGTCGGGAAACGGCGCGTGGAAAATGACGAGGGGCTGTGGTCGCGTTGAGGAGATGATCTCTGACCGAGGGGACAGAGGTTTGGATTGTCCGGAAAATCTCGACCGTGGGGTGGAGGGGGGGACCGACCACGGCTGATTGCAGGCGGCGCCTGATGCGCAGCCGGATTCTTCTTATCCGAGCGTCGCTCCCTACGCGTCGAGAATCGTTCTCGTCTGGAGAAAAATGTGTCGGGTCGGCCTGAGTAGGGAGAAGTCCTGCCGGTGTCGACGTCCCTTTCGAACCTTGCTGGGCCGTGCTCGTGGCGAGACCGCCCCGGAAAGGGTGCTGTGGAAAGAGGGCTACGGCTCCTCCTTCGCTTAGCAGGTGGCGGTGACCGTGGTCGTGATGGGTGTCGGGCGGACTCGTCGGGGTGAGGATGCCGGGAGTGGTGAGGGGACGGCTGGCGTGGGTCGGAGGGATGTGCAGCCTCGCGACCCCAAGAGGAGCCTCGAGGGCCTCGATGCTTGTGTCGAGGGAACAAATCACCAGGGCGAGGTGCACCGTCTCTGCTCCGGTCCCTGGACCTATGACGATAGGGGTGGGCGTGGTTGGGTTGCCTCGGGGGGCTGTGGGAGCGGTCGCGAGGTCTGGTGTTGCGGTGGCTTCGTTCACGGGCTGTTGGAGGCGGGCTGCGTATAATATCTCGGCGTCTGCGATGGGCGGCTTCTCTGTCACCCGGGCCTGCAGCAGGGTGTGGGGCAGCGGTACGCAGGGGAGACAAGGGTCGTCGAGGAGGGTCGGCGGGATTCCTCATGCCTCGTTGAGACTGTGCTCTCACATCTGGGTCGTCGCCGAGGTTGCGGCTGTCGTCTGGCATTGCATCATCTTGTCGGGGTGGGTGGCGTGTTGGGACAGCAAAGCCAGGTCGGGAGGCGGAAGAGGCAGAGGCAGAGGCAGGAAACCGCCTGCGCTTTGAGAACTTCATTTTGCCTTTTCGGTGGCCCAGGAGGACCCAACCCCAGGCGGTAGGCGGTAGCTGGGCCCGGCCGACCAGGATTTGCGGGTGTGGGGGAGCACTCTGAGGTGCCACTGCCTAGAGTCCCAGACAGCCGCTAGACGCGCTGGCTGGCTGGACCACAGCGCGCTGCCAGTGGAGCACTTCTTCTGGGTTCCCGTCTTCTCAAGCCTCCAAGACGCGGCGGCACTTACCACGGTACTCGGTATGCTCAAATGTGGCGCTGCCTTTTAGCCGTTCCTGCCACCACCAAGAACAACTGCTGCTGGTGTTATGCTGTCCAAGTCAAGCCCCGACAGGACTGAGAGGCCGTGATAGCTGCGCAAAGAAAGACCGCACGAAGGAAGCAGCCTGGCCGATCCCTGGTAACAGGGCATTTGGGAGACCAAAATTTTGCGTGGGCAGATCGGGTGCTTGGTCCCAAGGCCGTCGTCGGCCACCAAGCGTCGCAAGGCTCGGGCCTGAAGAGAGGCCGGGTCGTCGTTAAGAGGTCGGGCCTGCACTTGCTGGTCGGACAGTGTGGCTGTCGACCCTGCACAAGATTCTTCTTTTCAACCCAGAAATCGCTGCGGCACGAAGGCAGCCCCGCGGACAGTCTTGGTGTCCGCGTTCTGGTACAAAAGTAGACGGCGATCGTCGTGATTAATGCAACAAGCTGAGTCGAGCGAGTCGCGCGGTAGAAGAAGCTGCCGACGAGTCTCAGCAGCAGGACCGAGGCTGCAGGTGTCGCTGGACAAAGCGAGCTGGAGACGAGGTGGGTCGAGGCGAAGGACCAGAGTAAAGAGCCGTGCCGTGCCAGATGTGTGTGTGTGTGTGTGTGTGCGTGTGCTGTGTGATGTGCGAACTCAAGGGCTGGCGCGCAGTGGTGTTGTTGTCGGGCCATCAGCGACAACCGCATCAACTCGCCGCCTCAACGGTTCAAATTCAGACTTTCCACCACCCGCCCCAAAGTCAAGGCGCAAGCTCTTCAAGCCCGGGCAAGGCCCTTGTTTCTGGCTGTGTCAGAGTCCTCCGCTCGCCTTGACCAGTGCCAGTGCCAGTGCCTCTGCCTCTGCCTCTGGCGACAGGGCGTGCCCCTCTGCTCTGCTCAGTCACCTGTCGCAAGAGCGACTCGGTGTTTCTTTGCCAGCTCACCAAACCCTTTCTGCCCCTCCATTAAGCAACACCACCTGGCGCAGACTGGGATCAAAACCCAGAGTCCTTGCAGCACCGCCCGCGGGGCTTGGTCCAAGAGTCAGGACTCGGGGCTCCCCCAAGGCTTGCCCCTGCCCCACCTCGTCTGCTTGAGCCTCCCTCTATCGAGGCCCAGCATTTTCAGCATCAGGCAGTCAAGTATCTACGTAGGGCTATAGTGGTTTACGACAGCTGGCACATGTCGGCTCCCATCGTCAAAGACAGCCAAGCACACAACTCGAGCCACGGGCAGCCATTTAGTGCTCGTCGGACATGGCATGCGGTCAAGTCCGAGCCAAGAAACTGCCCTTCATCAAAACAACGTGGTCTGGACAACATCAACTCTGCTAACCAATGACCCCTCCAACACCAGAATGGTTTCCTCGTGGCCAGGGTGGCGCCGCGAGCCCTTGCCCAGCTGGCCTGATTCTCTTCAGGCCCGGTGCTTCTGTATGCGTGTATGTGTGAAAGCCGGAGGATCAGCTGGGTCGCTGCCTAGCTGGCGTCCTGGTTCTGAGAATGTCTTGACATCGGTTTGCAGCACAGTGATGATGCATGGAAACTTTCGAGCCATCACCATGTTCTATGAGACCCCATCGAGGCACGTGGAAGCATGTCGACAGATAGCAAACCAAGGCTTCTTCTGTAGGTCGTGTTGTCGAGGCACACCACCAATACCGATACCATGAGGCCGGCCTTGACAGTTGGGCCGCGGGTGATCATGATGGTCTCCTGCCAGGCGTGTCGATATGCATGAGGGCCACTTGTGCAGAGGCTGCGGGTTTGTCCGACAAGGCTCGGAGACAGCACGAGCGAGGAGACAACGTCTCGCAGTAGGCTGCCGGCATGTTCATGTGCTCCTAGATCAGCCTGCTCTGGTATGTTCCCACGCTCTCGGGGGAGAGCAGGGCAGGTACTTGGTGTTCGTCCTCTTTAGCGCACTATCCCAGCCAACGTTGGGGGTTCCTGGTCAGATGTCCCCGCGTCGGCGATTCTCTTGTTGCGATCCATCGTTGCTGCGCATCAACTTCAGGCTCCGCCGGGAAGATCAACTAGCGTAAGCTCGTGCTGTCCCACGCAAGCTCCCCATCCTTTACCACACATCAGGTGCTGGCAATGACGATTTACGATTGCAAGATTGTCGTGGCCCGTTTCTTCCGCGAAACCCGTGATTATAGCAACAAGACTGAGATGGTGTCGGGCGTCGGGGGTGGGAGGGGGGAGGAATGGCTGATGAAGCTTCGTTCGGGGGTTGCAGGAGGGAAACGTGCTGTCCGCAAGCAGAGTCGGTTCCTGAGGCACTAAGTCAAGTTTGAGCGTTGGAACCCTAGCCCTTACCCCGCGTTTCTTTCATGGGGGAAGGGGGGGGTGGCATCCCTCGCCAGCCCCGCCCCATCCACCAACCATTTTCTGCTAATGACCACAGAGATCCATCCCAACGAAATTGCCTCTTTGAGCAACCTAATCCAGTGCGTCTTGATTATTTTGATCATAGACTCCCTCACATGAACAACAAAATTTCAATGAATAATATAATACTGTGGGCTGTCTACAGTCTAAGGAAATTTTTACACACCACCCTCGATACCTCACAGATGGGTAGCTTGTCCCAGCTGCATGTCATTACGCCAATTTTGTGGAAGTGGCCGACTAATAAGCCACGAGAACGCCAAGAATCCAGACATCGCTGGACGACCTACTAGTACACCTCATCTATGTCCATCAACATTGGCTGTCCGAAGCCATTGCTCGGTACACCGTAGGAGCTCATCGTCTGCCGAAGGGCTTCCTCGTCCCGTTGAGAGATGACAAGTCTCGCTTGCTCTGGATTAGTGACCCCCGGATGCAGGTGTCGAGTGCCTTGCTTCAGCTGGTTCGCGCACTTGACCGCAAAACGTCTGCAGCAGAAGTTGCCCCCTGACCTACAATCGTGGAGACACATTATAGCGTCATGATCAGAGTCTTCTAACCATGCGTTTGAAGTCAATCCATATTCCTGTGGAGGGAGTGCCATTGTTCCGGCAAGTCTCAAGGGAAATGAGACTGCACTTTGGCCTCTCTCGCGCTGGCAGTCTAATGGCATCTCCCAACGGCCCTCTCGTCTGACCGTCATTGTCAATGATTTCTGTGTGAACGATATCCTGGCAGGGTTATTCTGCCTTTTGTTCGGATTCTTTTTATAACACACACTTTCGTCATGGCCCTTCTTACCACAATATGAGCAATTGTTTGTGGGTTGTGGCTGTCTAGGTGCGTTCTTGTACCGGCACTCACCTGCTCGATGATTAGTAAAGCTTCTCACGCCTGGGATGGCAGAAGGGAAGGAATGTACCTTTATGCAGTTTGCCACAGATTTGACACTGGGAGAATTGATTTGTGGGGTTTGGTCTATTAGTAGGCTGATTATCGAAGGGTTTTGCAGGATGTGATGAACGCTGTCTATTCTGATGTTTGCCTGTCGGCTGTGCCGAGGGCTGCTTATAATTATTATTCTTTTGGTGGTTCTTTTTGGCCATCTTGGTCGTTTCTGGGCAGACTGTGATAGAATGTATGGTATCCACGGTTTGTGAGCGTAATTGTGCGTGAAATCAACTTTGGCGGAGAAAAGTGCTGGCATTACTTCGAGGAGGCTGCTATACGCACTTTGTATGTGTTGGTGTCTTTGACAGCTAAACGGCACTCAATAATGGGACAAGACATTATCCTCTTGAGTACTAAATTTAGAGCCATGGGCGTTGTCTCTCAAGTAGCCCGGACCAAAGAACCCTCTATTGTAGTCTTTGTCTAGCGGCACAAGCCTGCGGATCAAATGCATCAATGGGAATAGCAGCATGGTGCCAACAGGTGTGCTAACAAAGCCAATTAGCTTTGCATGGCTCGGGGGACACGTGCAGTCCATTAGCCAAACATCTAAACAAAGGTCAGACTGAGTCGCCAGCGGGTGTGGATCGAACTCCCTCGTCACCAGTGTCCGGCCGGGCAATCCCCGTCGAGGCTGAGAGGGCCAGGCATAGAAATGTGCCGAATCAAAATTACAATGGTAGGCAAACAGCGGTAAGAGAAGGGGCACTGGAAGGTAAATTCAATCACCTTGTGGGTTACACTCACCAACTTGTTTGCGAAGCCTGGATCTGTTTCTGTTCTGTAGAGTGCAAAAGGGCGAGCACAGAGCAGTGCCAACAAGCCAGGCACGGCAGAACATGGCAAAGACATGAGCACAATTTCGTCCGTCCAAAGACCCCATGCAGAGACCGAATTGAGTTGCAGAATTGACGGTGCCAGGCCTGGCCCCGCGCACGCCAGTGCTGCGAGACGTCATTTGAACTGACTAGGTACCCAGGTACCTAGGTACTTAGGTCCCAGGTATGTGGAGGTGGACCCCCTTCCCCGGGCCGTGCTCCACGTCAACCGCGGCTGGGTGGCAACAGGCCTGAAGGAAGACCTGGATAAGTAAACTTGACGCGGGACGAGACAACCGTGGCACCACCCGCCTATGACGAGGATGATATAATCCCCCTTGAAAACGTGCAGAAGATCATCTATGTCTGTTGGGGTCTAGGGGCCGCTTCTGAAAAGTTGGGCGGTTGGGTGGCAACGAGGCAGCCGAAGCCCAACACGAACGAGTCTTCTGCACAGCAGCAAGGCATGTTAACTGTGCCAACGTGGTGGGTGCCCAGATAAAATTATGGGCGCTTCCGGGGCCATCGTGAAGAAAATATCTGTCTGTGTGTCTGCCCACCCTAGCGCAAACCTTAGCTGCCTCCAACTGCCAAGCTTGATAAAGCCTCCATCTGGTTCCAGATCCACACCTGCTGCCGGCCCTACACTCGTCTCAACAAGTCTCATGATGCGGAACTGCAGCGCCCTGCCAGCCTGTCTCGTGACGATCAGGCCGGGGGGGTGTGTTGAGGGTAACACACGATGGCTGGCTTCAACTGCCCAGGCATCTATCTATCTACCTTTAGGCTGCCTGGAGGCTGGATCTGTTTTTGTCAGTTGGTGTCTTGTCCCGTCTGATGTGTACTGGCAGGATCTGTGGGAATAGACTTTCTATTTTCACCACACGGCTGGGCTGGCAGGCTGGCAGGCTGGCGGGCTGGGGGGCTTTGCGCAAATCCTGCGCCCGACGCTGAGAATCCGATGTGCGAGCTCTTGCGGTGGAGTGGCCCCCCTGTGCTCCGTACCGAGTAGCGTTCCACCATTCCAGCATCCCAGGGTTGGCTCGAGCTCTCTTCCCCTCGCCCCCCGGTTTGGAGGCGCCACAAGAAGCTGGGGATGAGAGCTGTTTGGGGTAGCACTTCCCTGTCCCTCTAGCCCGGAGCGGCCTAATGCCCTGGCTATTGCTGTACTGTAGCGTCACAGTCCGATCCTGGATTGCCCAACCACACAAAGTCGCTGCGAGCATCATGCCGAGCATAATACCTCGAGCTCTCACCTCACCTGCTTTTCCCAGCCTGTCCACCCTGTAACGCCCGCCTCCCTCTCTCCCGACACCTAAAACCCCTTCGAGCGCCGCTCACGAGAACAACGGCCTCTTCCACCTAGGAATTCCCATCTGCAGCCAGCTACTGTCTTGTGGCTCAATTGGGACCCCGCCACCCAACCGTTGTTTGTTTTGGCCGTTTCGCGCCTTATATTAGCTGCCCAACCCGTTGCACTTGCGGCGGCGAACTCATTGGCTGTCTTGTCTTGCAATTACCCAAGTGGTGAGTGGCCTGTTTGCTCTCACAAGCTCATATCTCGTCGCCGCGACGCTTTGCTCCTCTCCCGAGCTCCATCTCCTCTCAGATCAGGCCATTCGGGGTGCAGTCCATGTTTGAGCTAACAGCGCGGGGAACCAGGCACCGTAACTCCTTGCGAATCGCCCAACCCAATTCCCACCTTTCACCATGTCCGAAGAACGCGCCCCTCGGGATGTGAAGAACCACATCCTCTTCGAGATAGCCACTGAGGTCGCCCACCGAGGTGTGTGAGAAGTCAACACTGTTGCTGGTCCTGCTCATGACTGACCTTGCTCGCAGTTGGCGGTATCTACTCGGTCATCAAGTCTAAGGCGCCAGTCACGACGGCAGAATATGGCGACCGCTACACTCTCATCGGTCCGCTCAACCACCAATCGGTCAGTCTCATTACGGCACTGCTTGTTTCTAGGTTGCCTTTTCCGCTGACCTCAGCAGGCCGCTGTCGAAGTCGAGGAGCTCGAGCCCACGAACCCAGAACTGGCGGCCACCATCCAGTCTATGCGAGATCGCGGTATCGGTATACTCTACGGGCGCTGGCTGATTGAAGGAGCTCCACGCGTCATCCTCATCGACACCAAGACTGCTTATGGCTACATGGATGAGTGGAAATCCGACCTGTGGAATCTCGCATCCATTCCTTCGCCCCCTGGTGACGACGAGACAAACGAAGCAATCGTCTTCGGATACCTCGTCGCCTGGTTCCTTGGAGAGGTATGTGCCCGCCGCAGAGCAGCAGGGTCCATGTCAAGCTAACGATCCCAGTACGTATGCCACGAGAAAAAGAGAGCCGTCATCGCACACTTCCACGAGTGGCTGGCCGGCGTCGCCCTCCCGCTGACAAAGAAGCGACACATCGATGTCACGACCATCTTCACTACGCACGCAACCTTGTTGGGCAGGTACCTGTGTGCCGGATCTGTGGACTTCTACAACAACCTGCAATGGTTTGACGTAGATGCGGAGGCAGGAAAGCGTGGCATCTACCACAGATACTGCATAGAGCGCGCTGCGGCTCATGCCTGCGACGTCTTCACAACCGTTTCCCACATTACGGCCTATGAGAGTGAGCACCTGTTGAAGCGCAAGCCAGACGGTGTCTTGCCCAACGGACTCAATGTCACCAAGTTCTCCGCCATGCACGAGTTCCAGAACTTGCATCAGCAGTCAAAGGAGAAGATTCATGACTTTGTGCGCGGACACTTCTACGGCCACTATGACTTCGACCCGGAGAACACACTCTACTTCTTCACGGCAGGACGTTATGAGTTCAGGAATAAGGGCGTGGACATGTTCATCGAGTCCCTCGCACGTCTGAACCACCGGCTCAAGACGGCCGGAAGCAAGATCACGGTTGTTGCGTTCATCATCATGCCAGCCCAGACGACCTCGTTGACGGTCGAAGCCTTGAAAGGACAGGCAGTGATAAAGTCACTGCGGGACACCGTCGACATCATCGAAAAGAGCATCGGGAGGCGCGTTTTCGAGCGATCAATCAAGTGGCACGACGGAGACCCGCTGCCCGATGAGAAGGAGCTCATCACCTCCCAGGACCGAGTCCTCCTGCGGAGGCGTCTGTTCGCCATGAAGCGCCACGGGCTACCGCCAATTGTGACGCACAACATGCTCAACGACAGCGAGGACCCCGTGCTCAACCAGATCCGCCGCGTACAGCTCTTCAACCACCCGTCGGACCGCGTCAAGGTGGTCTTCCACCCAGAGTTCTTGAACTCGGCAAACCCTGTATTGCCCCTGGACTATGACGACTTTGTTAGGGGCACACATCTCGGTGTCTTTGCGTCGTACTATGAGCCATGGGGCTACACTCCTGCCGAGTGCACGGTCATGGGAGTCCCCAGCATCACGACCAACCTGTCTGGCTTCGGCTGCTACATGGAAGAGCTCATCGAGAACTCGAGCGATTATGGTATCTACATTGTTGACCGCAGAAACAAGGGTGTGGATGACTCGGTCAACCAGCTTACCTCGTCCATGTTCGACTTCTGCCTGAAGAGCCGGAGGCAGCGCATCAACCAGCGGAACCGCACTGAGCGCCTGAGCGACCTGCTCGACTGGAAACGAATGGGCATGGAGTACGTCAAGGCTCGGCAGCTTGCTCTTCGGAGGGCGTACCCCAACTCGTTCGAGGGCGATGCGGAGGACGATGACTACATCCCTGGCGTGGAACAGAAGATTTCGAGGCCGTTCTCGGTGCCCGGATCTCCTCGTGACCGCACGGGCATGATGACACCTGGTGACTTTGCCAGCATACAGGAGGGCCACGAAGGCCTTAGCACCGAGGATTATGTAGCGTGGAAGCTGCCGTAAGTTCCCTCATCATACCGCTCCTGGACCGTGCCCGACAGGATGCTAACTAAAAATCGCAGTGAGGAGGAAGACCCCGATGAGTACTCGTTCCCTCTGACACTGAGGTCGAAGCGGACAGGGCCCGGCAGCCCCCTGGACGGCGTGCAGCTCAACGGAAACTAGAAGTAGTCGAGTGCAGTATCGATCTATGATTTGGGCCCATCTCCTATACCGCAGGCACCGAGCGAGCAAGGTGGACATACCAGGGGAGATTGTACTGATACCGGGGTCGAAAGCCAAAAGCGGCGGATACCAGCACAAGCACGACATATTGCATTGCACAACGGGGATGACTTAGTCTGTCATGTATAATTATTTACTTCATTTGGTCCGAGACCAAGCATATCAGGGTGTTCTCGCGTATTTCGCGCTATATCAGCCTCCCAGATTGGGTTCTTGGCCGCTTGCGTAGACAATCCCGACGACGTTCTCAGCGCTGCTCCTCAGAGGCTAGAGGTGGGAATTGCTGAAGCTTGATGCAGGCAGATTGACCTCATTGGGACTAGTGTCTGGATGTCTGTCTACATGTCCTGCTGCGCCGCAGGATGCCGGTATCCCGCACCTCACCAACAGATTCAGGCACAGGGTGATCTCAGCTCGAAGGATGCGGTAAGATTACTGAAACGATCCGTCGCTTTATTGAAGGATTGCTTGCCGCTGGACGCATCCAACTCGGAACGAACCTTCCTCCCAGCTTGGTATGTGACAAGGACAGGCATTTGATGCCATATCCATGGAGCTGAGCGCTGGGACTAATCAGAAGTGATAGACACTTAAAAAAAAAGTCTCTCCCTTTGAGTGGGGGCACAGCCAGCCAGCCACTGTATGTTTGTATGCTGGTGCCCGGTGTTGTCTCGGAACTTGGGGGCTCAACCTGCTTTGTTGTACATTTATTTCTACCCGTCTCTTTCTTCCTACCCTTGCGCCCAGCCCATACCGACCAAGAAAGTCTAGATTCAACGATGAGTGCCGAGAGAGATTCCTAATCCTGAACCGTTACGGCCCCTGCGTACTCCTGAGGACCTAGGCACCTGGATAGGGGAAAGGCAGGATTGCAGAGGCTGAGAGGCTGATCTAGCGCCGTCCGTTGGTGATAGTATGTGCGCCCAACAGCAGAATGCAGACTGTCACGCATTTGATGCGATGTGGGAGTTGCCAAATTTGGGACGTGCAGACCCAGGGTGCCAACGGGCCATTGTTTCGAAATAAGCGGCGCTGCTATGCACAGAAGCAGAGGGGCGAGCAGACTGGCAGAGGGGCAGATCGGTTTGTGCTCAGTCCTCGGCACAGGCTGCGCAGGCGCCCGCGATCTCCGAGCTGGAGGGGCAAGACGAGCGACGGGCGTGACAGGCTGGCAAAGTGGAAATATCACCGGGTAGTCGACCGATCTGCGCGAAATGAGCGGGCAGGGACCCCGCCGTGGGCTCCGCTCTGGCAGAGGGTCGGAGGGTCCAGGGTCTCTCGAGAAGGCCGATTGCTGTCTGGTAATTACGGTTCGGGGTGATGTAATGCGAGTGAGAGGATGAACGACGAGGCACAGCCCGACTATCTGCCCTCAGCGTTCTAAAGTTCGGCTCACAAGATACCGTGTTATCCCAAGTCCCAATATCGCCCTCGTGTCCTCCAACCCCACCCCATTCCCGTAGTGTTGATCGTTGTGCTCATGTAGCAAGTAATAAGGTTGGCGAGATACCGAACAACACCAAGCCTGCAATCAAATATCATCAGTGATCCAAGCCTACCTGGATTCCTTGGGCAGTCAGTCCCTTAGGCAGGTGCCCAGTGCCCCCCCTGAACCCCTGCCTTGTCCACCATCGCTCACCACCACCCACCTGAAGAGGCTGCAGAGGTGGAAGGGAGGCCCTGCCAGTCTTGCCAAATGGTGTTTCCCCAGACCAGAAACGGACAGGGGACAAGGGTCGACAGGATTTGTGGGGGCCAACGAGAGGGCGTGCCCGTCCAATCACTCCCCCTCCCTAGCAGGAGCCGACAGGTCCCTGCCACCTGCCGTCCCCTTGTCGGTCGACTCTCCATCTGGCTCTGGCCGCGCCCAGCTCCAACTTCGCGGCTGCCACTTCTGAGCCTATCAAACAAAGGACCAGCCTTTTGGTGTGCGTGCTGCACATGCGGTCGAAATAACGTGCGGCTAAAGAAAGAAACACCACAACGGCGTCCTGCACCTTGTCCTGCACCTGCTTGGGCGACCAGTCAGTCACTCCATCACGGCTCCGCTCTGCCTCCAGCCTGCCTGCATTTCCACCAAGCATTGTTACCGGCATGCTTAGCTCGACGGTCTTTGTCATTCACCTCACTCCCTCACCCACTCCCTCTCTCCATATGCGGTCCTTGTCTCTCTGTTCCTGTCCCTGTACATAGGGTCTGATTTCTGCTCCACCACAGTCTTCTCCCCCCTCCCTCTCCGTCCACACTTCTGCTCTCTCTCTCCCACATCGCTCCCTCTCTCCATATCTCTCGCCCTCGCCTCGCCCTACACTTCTCTCTCCCTGCCCGCCTCCCTTCAGACCATCCTCTCTAGGGTCACTCCTCCTCATACCACCGGCTGTATCTTCTCTTCCAGCAGGACACGCGACCACCAGCTAGCTACAATGAAGCTCATGAAACTCTTCAAGCGGCGCAAGCAGCGCAACAAGAGCGAAGCTCCCGGCGCCGATGCTTTTGGCAAGAAGTATAGACAGTTCGGCGGCAGTATGCCTGCGCAGCCTCAATTTTACACCGAAGACGACTACCCTCTCCCCGGCCCAATTCGCCCCTTCTCGCCCAACCGAGCCTCGGCCGCCAAACTCGCCGCGCTGCCCGCCCCCGTCCTCGAGCGCATCTTCGCCTTTGTGTGCCCGCATACCCAGGACTGCTCCTACGAGACACAAGAGCAGAGCTCACTCGAGGACGCTTGCATGCTCTGTGACACCCGGGACCTGTCGCATTGCGTCTTGGTCAACCGCAGGTGGTCCAAGGTGGCGCCCAAAGTCCTGTACGTACCATGTCGCGTGCCTATCTGTGGTCCTCTCCCTTCCTGCTCTTTCTATGCCAAAAGAGGGGCGCCAATGCCCCGTCCATAGGACACTTGCTGACTCTATGTCTCCTGTCACGCCACAGTTACCATAGCATCCGCATCGAGACAGTACACTACTGCGACCGTGAGGCTCTCCTGGCCGACAAGCGCAAGCGCAGGACCTTTCTGGACCGGAACGGCGTGCCTGAAGATACATCCCAGAAACGACTCAAGCTCCTATGCAGGACACTTCGTGAAGACCCCGCGCGGCTAGGACCCGTTGTGCAATACTTCAAGCTGCCTTACATGCTGAGAGAGGCTTGCCAGGCCGACATAGCGCGCACGATCGCGGTACTTCCCAACCTGCTATATGTCGACCTTCCTGAAGGCCTTTACCAAGACGATAATGCATACATCACATTGCGAATGGAGGTGGAGGCAAGGTGTCTGAATCTGAGGAAGATGACCTACATGCACGGGTCCGAAAGGAGTCTGGAGCGCGTTGCGAGTGGCCAGGTGTTCCGAAACCTAGAGGTTCTGGAGCTGAAGAACATACAAATGGACGGCACCATCATATTGCATGCTCTCGGCGCCCTCGGGGGCTTGCGTGCCCTGAAAATCTCCAACTCGAATGCTGTAAACGACGAGATGATCGGGCACGACAACGAGATGCTCCCGCCGTTCCCGCCGTTGGAGGAGCTCATTCTGGACGGTGTGCCTGGAGTCACGTCACAGGGCTTGACGAGATACTTGACCCGTGGAGACGCATCGCGTGCTCTCAAGGTCCTGAATCTTGCCGAGACGGGAGTCAAACCTTGGACTCTGCAGGACATCTTGGCGGCGGGCCCCATGCTCAAGCGACTCACCATAACCTACGAGGCCTCAACTTCCCTGCCCCTGGCGGCCGGCACACCCCAGGTGCCACCCTTGGCCTCGACGTCTCTCGAAATCTTTCACTACGAGGTGACAAGTGCTCCCACGGCCAGCCCTTACTCCAACATCCTTCCATCCTTCTACAACTATCTCTCCGGCTCCCTCCTGATGGGCGGCCTGCCGAATCTTCGTGCCCTCTACGTTCGGGACGCCAACTTTCCCAACACGCTCCTCGGCCTGCCCCCTCCGTTACCGAGGTACGCAGGCGGCAATTACAACCGACCCGGGAGCAGCAGCTCTCAACGGTCGTCGGCCTTCTCCCGCAACGGACTTGGCTCTCCTGGCTTCCCAGGGCCCTTCCAGAATGGTGGTGGCGGCGGCAGCAGCTACAACCCCTTCCAGGAACCACCCAAGAAACCCTTCGCCGGCGCAGGCCACAACCCGCGATTCAGTTCAAACAACCCGTTTGCATCCTTGGCGGGCCCCAACGGGCCTACCGGACTCCCACAGACCCTCGAAGTCTTTACCAAAGGCGACGACGAGCTGAACTGGGGAATGGTCAAGGTAGACCCGGCGCAGAGCAGTACGCCTGTCGAAGCCGCTGCACGCCCGTCCAGTAGCTATGGATTGGACAACAGCGACAGCGGCTGGAATTCTCGGGCCGGGGCTCGCCGCTCCGTCTTCATGGGAGACGGTACCGGTGGCTTCCTGGCCGTGCCCGGCCTGCCAGAGGCCACTGGCGGCCCGAGAAGAGGCAGCGCGCCGAGCGTGGGCGGCGGCGACGGTTGGCCACGGCCGAGCACTGCGACGCAAGAAAAGCGCTCCTCGAGGATCGATCTTTGGCGTTGATAGGACTATCATGCTCCAGACCCCCAACGAACAGCTTCGGAGATCAAGTCACCTCCTTGGACTTGTTTGATACTCCGATCGCGCACTCCGGCAGTGTCGAGCTTCACCTTGACAACAGACGCGCAGTAAGCCAGACTGTTGCCACGGTGTTCCGTGCGATCCTTCGCACCCGTTTTAGCCTGTCTGGCAGTATCGAAAAGCGGTCGATGACACGGAGCATTCACCAAAACTCGGCGCATATCACCTGTGGTTCGTCGGCAAGGCGGAGCTGTGTCACGGCGGATCATTTGCACTACGAGAGTCAAGACCTGACTCGATGGTGGCAGACGTGCACGATGTGGTGAGGCTGTCATACGGGCCTCAATCCAGGCAATGCCTCTGGATAGCCACTACTTGACTTTGTGTGAGGGGGACCGAGGTTTTAAATCGATCCCTCTGCTTGGGGTCCTCCATTAAAAAGCCAGAAGACTCGACATCTTGTACTCTCTCCTGATCTTTATCTGATTTTTTTTATATCTGGTCCGTCGGCATTTCCCTAGTTCTGAGACATCTGCAAGCAGCATAGCGGGATTTGCCAGCAAGCCAAGCGGGGTTGACTGGTCGGGTTGAAGTGTTTCCGCCCAAGGTGTCACGGCAGGAGGTTTGAGAGATATATTCGTCTGACGCGTCGTTGCTGGGAGAAAGGGGGAGGGGGCGTTCTTCTGGATTTATCCCTGGTTCACGGCAGACGGCCTACATGATGCCAGTCTTGGGGGAGCCCTCCCTACCTTTCCTCTCGGAACCAGGTCGGAGGAGGGAAGAGCCGATGCCAACAATTCGAGGATGGAGAGATATCTATCTGACGACGTGGCCCTTTAGGAAGGGCGCAGGAGGGAGGGGGGGGTCTAAGTGTTATCCCTTAATGGTGGGAAGCCCCTTGTTGTGATGTATTTCTACAATTGCTACTACTACTACTATACCCCGAATGGGCTGGAGCATTGGCATGGAGGCGCCTGGGGCGTACTTGGATGGACAGAGGCGTGGATAGGGGCCAAGCGGGCGTAATTGATGGGTTGAAAACTACCATGATGCATGCATTGCTCGTGACGCTGGCCCGGTGCATGGCTCTCCTAAAGTCCTCTCTCAACCCCACCCCCCCTCCACTTCTTACCCGGCTTGGGGCGTCCAAAACGTGCATGCTCACCAGTCTCGTGGGTTGACGGTACATGCCGAATGGGCTACCATTCATTGAGAGCACGCCTTCTGCTCTGGCCACTTACCAGCGGACATCAACAAATCTTGCCTGTACTTGACATCTCCTCCGGAGCAAAATAACCGGGCCAAGCCTCCCACACTCGGCTGTGTTGTACTGGAAGGGCAGAGATAGACGGGCCGCCGCGGGGTGTGGGTGAGGATGACTGAACCGCCAAGAGCGCGAACTGCAGAGTAATCAACCATCAGTCAGTCAGGATTTCCCTATTGAGGCTGATCGATGAGAATGGTGGTCTCGCGCTGTATTGCGCAGCTAGTATCTAGAGTGTTTCTTCTCTCACCCAGAGCGGACAGGTCACCCACCGAAGCAAGGGGAAAATAAGCGAGTAACACGAAGAAAAGGGGGAAAGAGAGAGAATATGTTTCTGTTCTTTTTTTTGTTTTTGTTTTGATGTCCTTCCCCATCCGGATCCCGGCCGCCCGGGTCCGTGGTGGATAGATCAGGGCCCGGAACGTCTGTGCGGACCCGGTGCCGCCGCTTGGGTGCCCAGAAGGGGAAGGGAGAGGGGGCCCAGGAGCCGGGAGCACCAGCCAGCCGGGAGAGGGGGGTCTTGTTCGTTGGGCTGGTTGTATCGGTGATGCTATTTGTGGACGGCCACCGTTGACCGCACACTCACTCACTCACTCACTGCGCGGCACAAGTGAGTGTACTGCAGATAGATAGATAGCATGGCTCGTTCTGTGCGCGTGGCGTGTGAGTGGGTGAGTGGGTGAGTGTGTATGGATGTGCAATCATTAGTCCGGCGTGCCGCTTCGCAGTGCCGTGATGTATGTATGTACCGCACTCTGTATACTCGGCGGACGGCAACTGGTCCACGCCGCCGTGTGCCTGTCCTCCCCGTTGACCCGGGAGCGAGGACGGCTAAGAAGGTGGGGGGAGACTCTAGATGTCTATGCCGTTATGCGGCAGAATAGATGAGGCACGGCGGGACTAGCGACGCACGACCATGGGGGATCGGACTGGCATTGCGATGATCACCATCCCACTAGACACGCACGCACTCAAGCTACTGGACTAGCGGGAAGGTGGTTGGGTTGCATGGCTGCATGGACAGAACAATGCATTGCACCCAAGAGATTTCGATGTCCAGTTCAGGAGTTCTCAACGAGTCTAGTTGTCCTCTTGGGATGACGAGCTCGGGACCTATATCGGCTACTTGGGGCGTGTTTGCACGGCATGCCGATGCACTTTTGGACGCGGTCAAATAAGATGCCCTATTGTATGCTCGACTAATGAGGAGTTGATTTCCCGTCTTTGCCCCCAACCACCCTCACGAGAGTGCAATTGGCCATCCCTTATGAAGGCGAGAAAATCTTCAACACGAAGACAGAGGCGTGTGGTGGTGTCCATCTCAGGGGCTCCAGGCTGTGCCCAATCGTATGGGACAACCGGCGACTGTTGATACCAAGTGATTCCCAAAAGGCGGTCATGAAGTATTCCATGCCCTTTATGATAGTTCACAAATCCGATTAGACGGAACTCAATCACATGTACGCTGAAACTTGCATGTAAGACACTTGACTTGCTGCGTGGTCAACGCCCAGCCACGGCCACAGCCAGACAGCTAGCTGGCTTGATATCCGTGAGGGTCTAGACGTCAATGCCAGCCAGCCAGCCAGCCAGCCAGCACGCCGGTACGGTGGCACAGCATCACACATCTGTTCTGATCGAGGCCACTGCTGACTTCTGTCGGCCTCGGAGCAGTCGATGCCGCCCCTCCACCTGAGCTCACTCACGGAGCATAACGCTCTGCGACGGAGCCGCCCGTCCCTGCCACACGATGAGGCCGATCTCGTTGCCGAGTCTGCTCTCTGCTGCCGGAATCGACATGCTGGTGTGCACAAGTGGAAGCGGGTTTTCCCATGGCCCATCCGTTTTCGTGCCAGGGGGGTTTGAACAGAGGCTCCTCCTTCCTGTGCAGTTCTGGCTGTTGAGAAGGATGCCAGCATCCCCACAAAAAACCACTTACACCAGAGCTTTTAATATAACGACGCCATCTCATTAGTGGCTTTTCTAGATCCAAGGAGCCTCAATCAATCGCATGTACAGGGTTTTGCCTGCAATAAGGTTAAAAAGGTACTTCTACCCTGATGGTAATGGGGGCCCTACTATAACTCACACTCTGTCAGAGAACCAAAAAATACAGTTACCTTCACTATAAATACCTAGAAAAATAAGTCAATTCTAGTAGACTTACATTAATGAAACGGTAACTAGGCTAACGGGAGAGAGGTACCGTTTTAAACTTAAAATAGGAGATTCTGATTGGTTAGTAGGGTGACACTGCATGTATTTACGCTAACAAAGTGCAAGGGAAAATCCTGTACCTAGATGCAGTCACAACACTAGGCTCGTACCAGACTCGTCGTGCCGCTGGTCCACCACACACCACCACTGTCACCTGGTCAGCCTGGTCGTGCCTCACAAATTGTCGTCGTTGCCCCTGGCCTTAGCCCTTGGGAGCTCCCGTCCTAGCCCCCAGGACGGCGGAGCACCAGGCCGAATGCGGAAGCTCGGGCAGGCCTTGGCGTTTCACCGAGACGAGGCACGAGATGGGGGCTTACGGAATCCGGCCACCAACCCAGCAAGCCCAGTCGATCGGAATGGGAATAAGACGTTGTAAAGAGGGAAACAAAAAAATTTAAAAAATTAGGCAGCGTAGTGTTATTGCCGCAGGTGACTCTTGGTTTGATTTGATCTGCTAAATCTAATCTTGGCCCGATGGCCCATTGTCGAACGCTTCTAGAAAGGATCCCGGGGGGCTCAATCTCCTTGCCGTGTCATCGTGCCGTGTGCGCGATCCATGATACCACCCAGCCACCGTCTTCGTAAGGCTCGTGGTCACGCTGGCGATGGAGACACGAGAGGTGATGATGTCTGTGGTTGAGTGATTCCAATCTTGCAGCAAGAAACTCTAATACGCCACACTGTGTTTATTAGCCATCAGATGGCGCGATTGTTCATGTTCTGGATACCGGCCTTATTGACCCTCCGGTGGTTGTGGAGCACGATATCTCCGGCCGCGATCGCGGACCCGGCGATTGCCTGACTAGGAAGGGCTCCTTGACCCACGGCGGCGCCGGGGTTTGTAGTGTGCTCCTTGGCTCCGTAGTTGACGATGTTGTTTGCGCCTGCCTGCCTGCTGTCTAGAAACGGTGCCTTTCGGATATCAAACGGTCTGAGTTGATGTCTCGATCTAAAGACCAGGCTCCCATATCTCCTCTTGCCAGCTCAACCCAGCCGAAGCCAAACCCCCCAAAACCATGGGCCGCTTCGAGACGGAAACTTGTTTCGTTCCAGAAGTCGTCTTGGTCTGTCGCGGCTATCGGCCCCTTTGCTGGCGATGCTGACTCACCGCACAAACCTCCTCCTCTGCAGGGGGCCCGTCACAAAACCCTGACCACAAGTTTGACAGCCTTACCACTAGCCCGTTATTACTCTCTCGAGCCACTGTGATAATGGCTGCCCGCCTCAGACGCCGTCGTTGCGTGCTCTCAGGTCCCGGACGCCGGCCGGCGTTTCACCGCTCCCGCGTGCTTGGTTTCGGGAGCCTGCACGGCGGCGCCCCCCTCCAAGCTTTTGGCCAACGATGGCTCTCCCGCGACGGGGTCTGTGGCATGCACGCCGGTCGCCACCGTTTTGACCCCGGCGTGGGAGAGGAGAGGGAGGGAGGAGAAGGGGGGCCACCCCGGCACCCGGCAAGACATGCGCAGAGTCCCAGACATATCAGACTGAGCAGCCAAGGAGAGGACGCACATCCCCAGGTCATCAGACCACCCACACCGAGGGCAAACAACAGAGAAACACCTCTGTAGAGCCACACGCACGCCCACATCGGACGGAAACCTAGATTGCCCAACCAGCACCCGCCACAATCTGGGCTGCGAGGCCGCAAATGCCGACATGCCGGGGGTGCTTTGGCTGTCAATTTAAGTTTCAGAAAGGCCGCCCTCGTCTCCCCCCCACACGGCCCACGTGTGCAGTGTGTGTGTGGTCGGCCTGGCCTATCAACCTATCTGCCAGGCCTGCGTGCATGCAGGCCTGCGTGCCCGCCTGATCGGCCAGAAGACCCTTTGATCTGCCTTTGTTGGACGTTTTATATTATACTGTAGACCTTACTCTCTCTGTCTGTCTGCCCCGAGATGATCGCCAGACACCTGGCGCAGGGAACCCAATCGAGCCAGGGCCAACCCGGCCTTTCGATTTCGCCCACCGTTTTCTTGACTCCGGGAGAAAGGGTCTGTTTTGTTTTGTTTTTCCTTTTCTAATCTGGACGGAACAATTCTCTCTCTGGCAAGGCAAGGGGCCTGGGGAATGATGCGTCTATCATGGGCGATAGGCCTCTTGATGCCGCACGTGCTGAGGCTCTCTCCCTCCTCTCGGTCACGTATTTGCTGGCGGTAGGCCGCCTTGCAGAGCCCCCATCCATCCTGACGTACATACGCATCATCATGTGTCGTGGTGTATCATGTAGAAGATAGACGACTGTCTCTGGAGCCGGCAGTAGTCGCGCCAGCATGCCACGCAAGGGCGACCTAATGCAGGTGTATGTAGCAGAGAGGAATTCCTACAGCTTGGCCTGCCTGCCTGCCCCCTCCAGCAGCAGCCGCATCACATCCCCAGAACGGAGGGAGGAGGGACGCTTGTGTGCGTGCAGGGAGATGGGGAGGAGGAGACGGCTTGCTCCCGAGCTAAGCAGCTAAGCTAACCCTGAGGACAATCCCATGGGAGAAGAATGCATGCTCAACTGCATGCATGCACACTCTGGGGGCGAGCCCCCTCGGACTTTGCCATTGGCGCGCCGCTTCCTCTGGCAAGCCCTGTTCCAGAAGGACGGGAGGGGGGCCACTGCTCAACCTAGAAGCTCGACGGTATGTAGGAGAGAAGGGGAGGGGGACGGGCGCGCGGGCCTGTGACTTTTTTTCCTTGCTGGCTGGCAACTGGCTGGATGGACCCCTCGGCCTGGGCGCCCTTCTCCCCAGTGTGTGGTCGAGGGCGACCGGGGCGGCCTTTGCGCACAGATGGTGGTCCGTTCCTGGTCTCCCTGTGCGGCAATGGCACGCATGAACAAGGCCCGCCGTCCGTAATGCGGGGGTGGAGGAGCAAGAGCTCTGGGAAAGGGTAAGTAAGGAGGTTTCTTCTAGCTAGCAGCGGCGATGGGAACGGCAGGGAGTGGGTGGGCGCGCTCGCCCGGGCAGGCTAGGACAAGGTTAGCTCGGGCAGAGGAACGGCTTATGCCCTACTCAACCCACCACCCAACGTCCCCCCCTGGTTCGTTTCCGCTCGAAACAATCCGTCAAGACGGGATTTGTGTGGCGCAACGAGAGGAGTAGGGAGGGCAAAAGGTTCTGGAATCCACGGGGTGGGTTGTCAGGTTGTGTGAAGCTTGGGGCTTGGGAAAGCATGAGCATGTCGTGGTGTAGCAGCAGCAGAGCATGCTGTGACACTGACTGCCGCGGCGCGGCGTGTGACAGCTGAAAAGGTGAATTAGGTTCTGGTGGACAGGCAGACGGGCTGCAAGCTGGGGTGGCTCAGACGGCAGGGTGTGATGGAGGTCTGTCTGGACGCGCAGCGTGGCAGAGTGCGCGGGCATCTGGGCATCTGGGCGTGTTATACAACGGAGATATGATATGTCCGCTTGATCACGTATACGAGATAGACATATGTAGCGAGTCTGGGAAAAGATGGGATAAGGTACGGCTCATGTATGATGTTCGCTGCACGCTATGATGGAGTTTGAGCGATCACTCGTGGTTATCAAGTGATTTTGAGTTGAGAACTCGGTCGGATCACGGCTGACCGCAGGTTTGGGCTTACACACAGACACACAATAGAGCACAGGTGGACAAGACGCGTTTGTGTTTTGCAGGAGACTCTCTCTCCCAGTTGTTCGATTCAAGCAGTTTGGTATCATAGCTTCGTGAGGTACTGCTGATGGACCTCGATAGCCACAGGCTAGAAACAACCCCCATTAAGTATTCCCTTCCGCGCCCCGCGCCCCTTCCGAGGCGACATGTCGCCTGTCTCCCGCTGGCAGACCAAAATGACTGCTTGTTTTGTTGATGAGGACATAATGAATGGATGTCCGACGCCGTAATGCCAATGCATGTGGTCTTGTTTCGATCAAGAAAAAAAAAGACAAAGAAGAATCCCTCCCAAATCTCAGAACGCTAAACCCAGGAGCCTTTGTTGTGCTCGTAACGCCGGAAAGTATGACAAAGCAAAGCTGAAAAGACCATGCGACGTAAGATTATCGGCCACGGCGGGGCGTTATAATTGCAATTTTCCAGTGAGCTTGATGCTCATTCTCCTCCGTGCGGCGTTGAAACTTGACATTCTCTTGCCTGTGGTGGCGGCGGTGCTGGTGCTGGTGGCGGACAAAGGAGACATGGGCGAGATGGGCGACTCAGCAAGGTCTGAGGTCGGCGTCCGTGCGACAGAGAGCAGCTTCTCGTTGTTCCTCTCCAGCCTCTCGTTCCTCTTGGCGACGCGGACGATCTCTTCGTACGTGACCGCCGCCGATTGGGGCTGCGGTGGGGGCCTCTGCGGTGGTGGCGGCACGGCGAACTCGGAAGCGCCGTCGGCCGCCTCCTGGCTCATCTCCTGCGGCGCCTCGCACAGCGGCTCACCCAGGATGCTGCGCTTCGCGGGTGAGGTCGCCGTGGAAACGTTCTCCGTGGACGATGATGACAGGAAGGCCTGGTTCATTCTTGGTGTGCTTCGCCGCTTCATCAGGCTGAGCGTCCTGGCCACACCCTTGAACATCTTGGTGGGGGTCTTTGGGGTCCTGGGGCGCTCATCCTCCTGCTCTGCCTCCTTGGGCTCCTGGAGCACGTCTAGCGAGTACACGCTGCCATTGGCGTAGGGGTCGATCTGCAGGAAGGCCGGTTTTGTCTTGCTGAATGTGTTGGTGGTGGGCCGGGGCTGCATGCTGCTGCTCCGGGGAGGGTGGGCTGTTCGGGTGGGCTTGGTAGAGACAGAGTCGGACGACGTGCTCGTGACAGACATCCGCCGCCTCTTGACCTCGGCATCGTCCTGGGCGAGCGACTGTGCGGCGAGGTCCATGATGGTCTGCCGCCTCTCGAACGAGGTGGGCGAGATCGAGCGACGGTTTTGTGGTACGTCGACGACGGACGGCTTCCCCGAGAATATGACTGACACGACCCTTGCGGTGACCTCGTGGCTCCTCCTATCTTTCGCAGGCGAGGGGCAGACATCGTCGCTACTTGAGTCGTACTCGAAGTCTGAGAAGTCACCAGCGGTTGAGGAGGCGTCCTCCTCCGAGGACATGTACTCGTCGTGGGGCGTCTGTGTGAAGCTTGGCGGGTCTGGCATGGTCAACTTGAGGCCGACCAGGTTGTCGAGGAGGCGCGACGTTCGGAGGGCGCTCTTCTGGGGGAGGACAGGGGCTTGCTCCTCTGGCTGCTGGCCAGGGTGCTGGCTGGGTTTTGATTGTATCATGACTGAGTCCTCCATTGCGGCGTATGTGTTTGAGTGAATGGAATCGGAAGAGGTGCGGCTGTGGGAAGGACTGCTGCTGGCAGTGTAGATATGGACTCGGCCGGCGGCCGCGCTGGGGAGGGCTTGGATATATGAATGGTCGGCGGCGTGGCGATCAGTATTGGGCCGGTGCACCTCCCTGGGTGGATAGTCGTGCTCCACCTGGGACATGTCGGTGGAGAAGACGGTGAGGTTTGTTTCTTTCTGGGGAGGGGCCAGGGCCGACAGGGTAATCTGTGGTGCGGACAAGGGAGTATATGAGAGACAATGTCTTTTCGGTAAAAAGCAGGCCTGTGTCCAGCGGCTGCTACGTCGTGTGGATGATCTGGGTGAGCTGGCTGAACTGGGCAAGCAGATGTTCTTGTATGCCACCTTTGTGGGGTCTGTTAGCTTGTGGTTGGATTTGGGAAGGATATGAAGGGGTCCTTGGAAGCAGAATGTTCCGAGATATGGGAAAGAGGATGTTTTAATGAGTTGGCCGGTCTCCTGGGACTACGGTGCGTGTGTGTGCGTGTGAGTGTGAGAAGCGTGTGAGAGGGCAGCCACACCAGGAGGCAGACCAAGAGCAAGACGCTGGAAACGAAAAGGGAAGCGGGCATATCCCTGAAACTGGAGATAGCCAGTAGCCCCATGTCGGTGGTCCCCTGAAGTCGAGGTGGGGACGCGCTGGGGACAGGGGGCTGGGCCAGAGATCCCTGTCCCTGCTAGCCATGCACCACGGTCCCCTTCCTTAATTGCGGTCATAATTTGGAACGGAGCCAGGGCCCTGACGGAAACGGTGACTTATACGCCTCGCCCGGGAATGGTGCGTGCCTCTGCCACTACTCAGAATCCACAATTCTGCGCACTACTCCGTACTCCTACACCACAACCAGAGTGTACCTATCCATTTGTAAGCTTCCAAGAGCGGCCACACTGGATAATCTATGCAATAATGCCGCCGCCGCCGCCTCTCTCTATGCGCCTGGAGGTGTTTGGCTGTCTCGTTGATGCATGCATGCAGGTTTCAAGCTCTCTTGTTTGCGCCACCGAGCGACGACAAGCTGCCTTGTAGCCTTCTGTCGCCGGGCGTGGCCCACGGTTTCACAGGCTCACTCTGTATCGATCTGCACCCAGGATGGGCAACCCGTGTTGTGTCGAGTCGATGCACAAGAAACGGCTCCGGTCGAGGTAGGGGCTCCTACGGAGTACTCGGCGTCGAGTTCTCACCTTGCCCGAGGGTCACCGTGGTCCTGGCACGGCAGATCCTGTCTCGGCACGACGGACTGACTGATTGATCGCTTGCGGTCGCTAGAGGCAGCGAGCCAAACGGTGTTTCAGGTAGAACAAGCCCATCAGAGGATGATTTGCTCGGCGGGTACGGACTAGTTAGTCTACGTCCACTCGGTCTATCTTGAGAACGTGGGGCCTTTTTACCATCTTGATCCTCCGAAGGGCTGCTAAGGCCAGACTGCCCACGAGCCCGTCGCCGTCGACTGACCGAACTGGTTGATCGATGACTGTCCAGTCGACCCAGCTCCAGACCAGGTCCGGCCTGGTCAACCCGCACTTTGTTGGCGGGCACAGAACCCTCGCGAAACAAATCAAGAAACATGAGCGGCCTCACCGTCATCGTCATAGCAGTAGCATCGATATGCTGCCTGCGGGCTTGCCGCTTGTCACTCCGTCCGTGACAGCTTTTGTTTCCCGCCCTGGCCTGCCCCCGGCTGCCCGTCCGCGCCGTCGAAGCGAAGAGATCCGATGCATTGCGACCGTCCTTGGCTGCCAAGCCCAGTCAGGTCCTGCTGTGTGGGTGGCTGGCCTTTCGTCATCCGGTTCTCTTATCGGGACCGCCAGCCCTGGAGCGTTTCCTCCCAGAGGTCCACCGTTTTCTCCCCCCAGGCTGTCACCCATGATTGACCCCCCAGCCGCTGATCCGGCCAGGGTGGCACAGGAGACGTGAGATGTGTGCTACTCTGGATTGCCTGGCTGGCCTGGGCTGCCTGGGTGTCTGGTCTGGCAATCTGGGTGTCCGGTACCTGTGGTTCTTCCTCCCATCTCTTGATCGATTGGCAGGGTCCGCAGGCATCCCGGAGACCTTGGGGGATGCGAATAGCCTCTTGATTGGCCTGACAGTGCTGCCCAGCTAGTCCGCCCCCGTTGCCCTCGCGCCTCGCTACCGGTGACTGGCTGGATGCCTGCCTGGCTGGCTGGCTGGCACCCAACACGGGCCAACAGATTCATCAGTGACCGACCAGCTCACCGGGACTGATTCAAATTGCCAGAACATGATTTCATGTTCGCCACCTCTGCCCGGCACTTTTCCTTGCAGGAGAAGTGCATCAGCTGTTTGTGCCATGGCGACGGACATGAAGGAATCCGAAAAGAGCAATACACAGTGGGTCTTGTCACCGCGAGCGAAATTGGACAGGTTCGTCGCAGCTCGCTTGGCCCCCAGGGCCCCTCCTCCATGTCTTCAGATGGGCACATGCGCGACTGGCAGTGCTGGGTGGCTTGCATGCATGCGAGAGAACTCGGCCGACCACGCCGAATCTGGGGTTCGGAAGAGCATGCAACGGCGCCAGTTACGCAGCGCATGCAGCAGAGGCGCCAGCCAGCCAGCCAGCCAGCCAGCCGCACTCTGTCTGGTAGAAAACGGAATTCTCCCAACGGCGCCGCCCCCTGGCACCGGGCCTAGACCTGCAGCATTGCCTGCGTGCTCCTGCCAATGCCCTCTGCTGCCAGAGCATTGGCGGAAGCAGGATTCCACGGCCTGTGCAAGGTCGTAATGGCCCGGACGGGATTGCGAAGGTCTGACAAAATCTTTGCCATGTCGACCTCGGACTCTGTCGCCAGAATGTTGAATCCCCAGTGGACGGACGGTTTTCGGCAAAGAACCGAGTCAGCCCAGAAAAAAAAATAGCGGCGCCACGCCAAATCGAAATGAGCTGGTGATCAGTGCTCACACAGATGCAGATTACCATCCTCCCTGGAGCCGCTGGCCAAAACCCCATGTTATGTTATTTACACGGCTTGCCGCAGTTGCCGCCCTGCCATTGCACAAGCGGAACGGCCGCCTCCCGAGTTGAGCCCTTCAAAGCTGATCTTATCTTACCACCGCACTGACCGGCCCTACTCAGCCTCTTGATCTCGCAAATTCAGCCTCCAGTGCTGGCTTCGACATCAGCTTACACGATCAGGCGGGTGCAACTGAGTGCAAGCGGGCGAGTGCTTGTGGGGCCCAGGTTAGGTCAAGCTCCCTCCGAACCGCGGGTGCATGGGTAGGGTGCCTAGCACTGGGACTGGCTGCTCGGAGCTGCAGAGCTGGTGGCACCTCCAAGTGGTTGCAGCAGAGGCTGAAGCAGTTGTGCATTGAGCCAGTCAGGATGCAAGACCGTCACCACCCGCAGCGCGCAGAGGGTGTGGGATGAATGGTGGGATGGTGGGATGCCTCCCTCACCGCAGCGAGCAGACTGGCAGGACTGGCAGGACTGGCAGACCAGTCACACCCAAGTCATGTCCTGTTCCGCCCGCGTCTGAATGCCCTCGCTCCACCCTCAGGTCACTGCTGTCCCGAACCATCCCGAAATCATCCATGGTCACCCGCCGAATCCCATGTCGAGAAACCTGTCGATATGCGAGAAATTCAATGTCGGCTGTCAGATTTAGGTAGGGCTTTAGCGGGGGGTCGCTACTCCTGTCCATCACTATTATCACCGTCATCTCTGTCCGACCGATCTCCGTCTTGGGCTACGTTCGGGCAATGACCACTTCTGGCGTGCCCCTTTTCCAAGGGCCCCACCAAAAGTGTGTTCCCAGAAGAACATTCGATGCCCCAGATTTTAGCAGCGAAAGATCCCTGCTCGGCATTGTGCGTCCTGTGGAATGTGACCGGCAGGGGCCAGTCCGCAGCAGGCCAATCAGAGGCTTGAGACATTCTTCCCGCTGGAGAGGACGGATCTCTGACAGTTTCCACCGCACACGGACCCCCCCATGCCGCTTCAGGACGACGGCTCGGTTCGAGGTTGTCCATCATCAAACCTGTCAAAAACACTTCTCAAACAACATCTGAACTACATACATACACGGCCGGCCGCTGTGTTTGGTTTGTAAGCATAGCGTAGGCGTAGAACATTTGTCCGTTCACCAGCGATGGCAGCCTGGCAACTGGGCATCACAATCACAGCCTCAGAAATCATCCGCGGCTGACGAGGACCATGGTAGCCGCACGCACTCAGCCGGTCCCGGCCCAAATACTGCGCGCAGCAGCGCCACCACGCCCAGGCTCAGTCAGGGTCAGTCTCTGGACCGCATGGCAGGTCGCAGTACGGGCTCAGCCTTGCCCCGTGCATCGGGAAACGGAGACATTGTTTTTGCAGCGAGTGGTGCAAGCCGGACGCCCACCCACGGCGACAACCGTTTTGCTGCCGACTGGGGAAACACAGGCGCCACGGCGTCCGGCGGGGTACTCGATTTTTTGACTGATAAATCAAGGTTTGCTACCATCTCACTTAGAGTTCTGAGGTGGTTGCAGCGCCCTTGGGAGACGGCCTGAAAGGCAATTGCGCTCTGCCGCCGTCATCCTGCAGTAGTCGGCTAAGCAAATCGGACGTAGCTATGGCCATCAAGCGATAGAGACCCTGATTCTGGCTCGGACTCGGGCACTGGCACTGGCAGCCTCGGCCTGGTTGGCCTCGCTGCCTCGTCGGGCCACGTCGACGACGTACAGGGTGCCATGCGATGATGCAGAGTTGTGCCCGGTTTAGTCCCGGCATATGGCTGCGCTGGCAGAGAGATACATCATCGTTCAGATGCCAACCCACCCGGCTCTTGAACAAGGCGTGTTGATAACAACTTGGATCCTGGAATAATCACCCAGATCTGGACCAGTTGTCGGCACCACGATCCGACCATGTCGTCATCGTTCTGCGTGGCCCAAGCTCCCATCCCTGTCTGGCTGCTGCTCGTCAGCGTGGGTCTGTTAGCGCGACTCATGCCTGCCACAGCCAAGCGCATGCACGGCACACCTGCCACATGCACCAGCCGCAGGTGGCTGGGGAATACTGGGCGCGGTACAGGTAGGCAGGTAGGTACGTACCTCCTTCCGCTGCACCAAGCTACCCGCACGCAGTTGCAGCCCGCGCGGGACGGGCGAAGCAGGCTAAGCTTAATTCTACACTATATTTGGACTAAGTTCCCAAGCATCACGAGCCCACTCTACTAAAGTCAGCCCTTTGAGCTTCTATCATCAGCTGCCATGTTGATGACAGCGACCACAACTGTTTGCGCCCTGGCAGCCAGCCTGCAAGGGACCAACAAGCCTTGGGTGAGGGGAGTGTAAGAGTGATCGGCGATATTTGGTGCCCTCAGGTCAACAAAATCTTTCGAGTTGGGGAAACCCGACGAGTCATACCATCGCAACACACCGTGCTGCCTGTCCCGCCAGCCCGTCGGCCGACGAGTAAGCAAAAGCCCACAGCATCAAGAACAGCCACATCCGCCTGAGAACGGCGAGCTGCTGCACAGCGCAAGACGGTGCCCGGAAACCCGATGTCCCCGCAAACAGCCTTGCCTGCGCTACTATTAGGCCATGAGATCTCGGTGGCGCCCGCGGCCAAAACTGCATGTCATCACGGGGCGCCGTAAGTCTTATGCACAGCATCATCTAAAGCGTGGGATGGGTGGATGCGTCTGGTCACGGCCGTGGAGACAGAC